AGACTTGTTTGCCTTCTCCAAGCAGCTGATCTGCACAAAATGATAATGAGACTGGCGTAAGTCAATAAACGGAGGCTGATTAAGAGAAAAAGAATAGTTTTCAAAAGATAACAATCGAGCAGATCACAAGGTAAAAACTTTCCCTACCCCAGATTATGCAACACATTTTAATTTAAATTATGGAACGCTCCATTACAAAATTAACGAAGATTTTCAGAAATTTACAGACGCAAGTCATCCATAACCCTTAACATTAATGAGAATGATCTTTAGAAAACTCAAAACCCACAAAAACCACTACCCAGAAACAAGACAAAACACGAAATGAAACAACCCAGATCCGAGAAAAGCCAGCTGGGGAACGAGAAGGACCTGAGTGAGGAAAGGAAGAGGGAGAGGAGGAGAAGGCGAAGCAGAAAGGAGAAGAGAAGGAGTCCGTTGGAGCAGTGGTGGCTCTCAGCTCCGGTGGGCTCCCCCCCCGGTGGGCTCTTGTGTGGTGGCAAGCCCTACTTGTGGTGGCTTCGTCGCTTCTGTCTTTGAAATTGAAGCGACCTTTCCTCCTCCTCTTCCTCGGACTCCAATACCGACTTCTAATTTAGTTTAATCCCTTTTCCTGATTTTCGGATTCTAATTTTATTTTCTTATCTATTTTTTAAATGCAATTATTAGATTCTTTCTAGTTGTTTCGTTATGATATTGATATGGTTTTTTGGTGGGCCAAATTATGATATTGATATGTGACAATGTGCTGTTTCCACTATGGTTCTCCTCGCTTGGGCTTTGTATAAATATTATATATATATATATAAATATATATATCCACGCACATACGCACCATACCTGCGTCTCTTCTTATAATTAAATTATCACAAAAAATCATATAAAAGATAAAAATAACGCAATGAATGTTTTCCAGCAGTAAGAGTTAAATTATTTTTTCCTATATTTTAACATTTGTTTTCTCTTTATAATTTATACTTTTACTTTTCATTACTTGATTGATTTATTCTCACCAGCTTATTTCCTGGCCTATAGAGGAAACTAGTGTTCTAATTTCTTTATCTCACCAGCTTATTTCAAAGAACAAAAATTTGAAAGAGAATTCAAAATTTAATGCCCAAACGGGGCTTTTTTTCTGGCTTCAAATGATAAATCAAAGGCATTCCAGTTATTTTAACGTGAAGAATCCTTCTTACCTTGTTTCTGATTTATAAATAAATATTGTTAGGTATAATAAAATATATACATGTTATTCGATTATACCCCACATTGGGTTTGATCAAAATTATTCAAAACTTCACATCATTCGGGTATTTTTAAAAATTGCATCATGCCTTTATGCTCAAGTGGAATCCTCCTTCCCTGTAAAATATTTTACCTATATACTGATATGGCGAACATTTATATTTCATTTTTTTCAAAAAAAAATTATACTCCTCCAGTCCTTAATATATGACCCAATTGTTGAGTTAGTTTTGGTCCTAAATATAAGACACATTTCTCATGTTTATCAATTTTCTCTAAATTACCCATATAGATACCCCATCAATCATAATCAGGCAGAAGAGGAAGATGGGTAATTAAGAAAGATGATTATGGTATTTTAGGAAAAACATGTCACATTTCTTATAATTAACTAATTTACCTAACTTTTTTAATCTAATCAAATTAGTTGAATGAGTCTTATATTAAGGACCGGAAGAGTACCTTCCATGGAACTGACATAATTAGCAGGTGATCCTAAGTAGGGACAGCCAAATAAGAATGAACATAGGAACTTGGGATGTACGAAAGGTGTCCGAGAACTCTCTTTTTTTTTCCTTCATGCTATGTGAGAATTTCGCTAAAATATCAACAATTTCTAAATTTTTCCTTAAAAAATGACAAATCAAAACATTCCAATTCCTATAAAACAGAGACCTATCATCATCTACTATATCTCTAAAAGAGTGAGAGTTATCACAACCTCTAAGGATCAAATTCAAGGCCTCTATACAATCAAAAAGTAGAAGGACACTTTTAAAACCTATGGCCTAACAAAGGTTCAGTCCATGGATGATACCAATTAATTCAGCTATTGCTAGTAGAATCTTGGTAAGCTTGCAGTTAAAACCCCGTTATCCATCTACTGTCTCCATCCTAGGTAGCTCCTCCACATCCACTCTCTCCACTAGCCAAGACTAACCCATCTACTTCAAGCTTAACAAAATCCTCATGGGATCTGTTATCTACTCAAGAACTCTTCATAACAAGGGAAAACAACACTCAAAATAAAGAGTTAAATATAATTATTAAAAAATTTTAATAACGACTGAGAAACATACAATTATTATTTACTTATTGTAAAATTTTTAGATAGTTACATTCTTCATAAGATTCACAAAAAAACACTAAAATTTTGAGGTGATATTGATCATCATTCTGATGTAATTTTTTATTCGCATTCTTTTACTACTCTAAAAATTAGAGGGTAAATGTTATTAAAAAATAACTACGCAATGTTGGACACAAAAAAATTAAAATATTAAATATATTATAAATAAAATTAAAATACTGAAAATACTTGAAAAATAAAATTAGAGTTTGTTGAGCAGGCCAAACAATTGTACCTTTTAACAAATTAAAAATCTGAGAGGATGAAGCGCATTTATTTTTAATGGATCTTGCCACGTGTCGAGCAGCTAAAGTTTGCTTTCCAGCTGACAGCTGGAGATGTTGATGGGGGGATGACAGTGACGTGGCACAACTTGGCTGCTTGGTAATGCGTCCTCAGTTTCCCAGCACTACGGCGCTTGTGAAATTCTTGGTCGTTCAAGGGAAAACCATGCGTCATGCTGACGGAATCTTTACCTTGCCGCTCCGTCCCCCAACACTGCTGCTTTGGAAAAACAAAATTGTGACAATTGCTAGGAAGTCTGAGATTTAAAATATATATATATATCATTGCTGAAAACAAATCTCAATAACAATAAAACAGTTTATAATAAATATAACTGTTTATTTGATATGAAAACTTATTAATATTTTCTTAATTAATTCTTTCAAAAACTTGTCACCATGTCACGAGATAAATCCTTAAAAAATTTGATCGAGGGAGATAATATTCATATTAGATATATGTCAAAACTCAAAACGCATAAAAGAAATTCATCAATGGATGCGTTTTGTTATGTTTATTAATATGGTTCTCATTCAGAGAACACATTATTAGTTAAGGAAAGGGATCTTAAAATGAGAAATGTTTAATTTATCTCACATACTTATCTCAAATCTTATAAATTTTAATTAAAAAACTGTTTTTAAAAAAATGCTCAGGTGATTCTAAACAAATAGTAAGGGAGTGTGTGGGATATCCAAAATAATTTTAAAATGCCTTCACATAAATTGAGACAAACTTTTTTTTAATACTTACTTCGTATACTGTAAAATTATTTTTAAATTTATGGTTTAGTTTCTATTCAAATATGCATGTAATATTATTTTGCAGGCTCTCATGTATTCTTTATTAACATTCCTCCATATAATAATACGACAGAGTAATTCTTTACTTTTCGTGTACACGTGATTTGTTTGTTGTCTTTTCACGAGTAACGGCATTCTGAAAATTGGGTTATAATAATGCTCTTGAAGCTCGGGTCGGTCTTTATTTTTTAACTATCAAATCTTCAAAGTCATCGTAAACCAACTAATTTTAACTCAAGCCGGGTCGGATATATGTCAAAAAGAGATGGCTCCTCTTAAAACTGTTTTCCCCCATGTTCAAAGTAGGAAGGTAATGAGGCCTCAGGGGTGAAAGTGACTAAACGTGTATTGGTTGCGCGAGAGGAAAAAGGAAATTTACATTCCAAAACTGTCTCAGTGGCGATTTGGATCCTTCCTATAGCGATCACGTTGGTCTTGAAAGCTCCCAGTAAACTGACTGGTGGGAGTGTTCTGGCCATTTTGTTGGGTTATTTGGGGGCCCAAGGAGTAATCCAAAAGGGAAAAAAGATTTTAAACAAAAACCCGATCAGCTAGCCAGCACGAGGTCCGGATCCATTGGACTTTGTAAGATACATCCAGTCTTGAGTCCACCACACCCAACTAGGCCCTGCATTCTTCCTCAAACCAAATATTTGCGGGCGCTGCCACAGGGTTATGCTCTCATTTGTTGAGTCGAAACGCTCTCCATTCTCATTAAAGAGGGGAGGGGGTAGGAGGGATTTTGCTCCCCTCCCCTTGTTTGGGTTGCTACTTGAGTTTCTGATGACGTTGAAAGTGACATGTTTTGCCCCGCGATCCTTGGAGAACTGTAGGGTATACTGACCTTCTGTGGGTATACCATAATTCCCGATATCATGACGAGGTGATCCAAACCGGTAACTACTTTTGTTCAGAGCAATGTGAACAAAGGGATCAGCAAAAAAAGAAAAAGAAAGTCTCCTTATGACAGACTATTTTCCTTATTATTATTATTCTTTGAACCAACAGAGTCTTTTCCTTAAAACCTAAACTACAGAAAGAAAATTTGTCAGAATATGAGCCTCAGAACTCAGAAGTGTCAGTTAGGCTAGCCAGAGTTAAAATAGATGGACAAGAAAGAAACTAAGATTTCGGAACGAGAAGCAAGCTAGAGCCACACAAATTAAGAGCCATTGGTTAAAACATCAGGGTCAGTTGTGCGTAGGCAATATCAACCTCTTGCAGCAAAAGTCAAGAAATGATGAATGCGTGGTCCAAAACGTGACGGATATCTACATATGAAAATGAAGATTATTAAATTACTAATGCGATTAGTTTAGGTGGAGTGGGAGATAAAACACATGCCGATGACAAATATGTCACAAATTAATGGTATCACATGTAAGATAGACCAATCAACAAGGCTGCTTGCAATTCCAAATTTTCATACTTGGGTGTGATTTGTAACATTTTCAAAGACAACATCGGATATGTTTTTTAAATTTTATTCATTTTATGATTAAGGTATGTGGGACCCAAGATGGTTCAAATGGAATGCATCCCTAAAGACAGTAACAAAGAATCAACTTCGCATGAGAGAACCCATTTTAAATCGGATGCTATGATGATGTTAAACTTGAAAGGGCCATCGCCACCTAATTAGGATCAACACTAATCACCAAGCACGACGACTAAGCACAGTTACACATCATGTTAGCGAGGAACAACAACTAATTAATGCACCGTAGTGACATAAGTCATTAATTACTTCCGTATCATCTTCTTTGTTTTCATATATTTTCAGTGTTCAAATAATTTCAAATGCTAGTACTTTATAGGGCTAAGGTGCGCCCAGCACCCTGAACTGTTTACCTAGGTGCGTCCAGTAGCCTAAAGTAATTTTGGGTGCATCCAGTATCCTAAACTAATTAAAATGATGCGTCCATATCCCAGGCTAATAGAAATGTTATGTTTAACTATTACTTTTCTGATTCAGTTTAAAGTTGACCCCAGATATTCTAAATGGTAGACATATGGACATTTGATATGTATTATTCTTACTCAAAATTGAATTTATTTCCTTCCTCTTCTTCTAAATAAATTGACTTTTGAGTAAGAATAATATACATCGGGTGTCCATGTGTCTACCATGTAGAATATCTAGGGTCAACTTTAAGCTGAGTCAGAAAAGTAACAGTTAAACATAACATTTCTGTTAGCCTGGGATATGGACGCACCATTTTAATTAGTTTAGGACACTGGATGCATCCAAAATTACTTTAAGCCACTAGACACACCTGGGTAAATAGTTCGGGGTGCTGAACGCACCTTAACCCTACTTTATATTTAATAAAATAGGAGTGATATACTTAATACTAATATTTACGATTCTTTGCTAATTAAGATTTTAGATAAATTTAACATAATCAGCCTGATATGGCTATATGCAATCACTTTGTCAAAATTTTAAAAATCGAGTAATAGGATCGATCTTGGATCCAACGGTAGTTATAAGTTGAGTAAAAAGAAATTTAATTAGTCCGGACTTGAAGAACTAATTAAGTACTTATCCTAACACAATGGGCTCTCACTCTCTCTCGATAAATATTTAAAGACGAAATCCAAAATTGGTGGCAAACAATAATACTCCTTCCGGTTCATCATATAAAAAGTTAGTTAACTTTTCTCACATATCAAGAAATGAAAGTTTAGTCATTATATATATCTTAAAATTAAATGATAAAATTTTTCTAGTTGCTTTTAATGTTACACTTTTATTATCTCTTATTTCTCTCCTCTCTCTTTTGTATTTAGTATGGGCAAAAATGAAAAAATCATATTAATTATTCTGACAACGTCTTATATTTTGGAACACAAATTTCTTTTAACTAACTTCTTATATTATGGACTAAAAAGAGTATTACATAGTAAAGTATTAATATAATATGCATTCAGGTGATGATGATGAACACTATGTTGTTAATTTCAATGAAAAAATTAATATTATATGGTGACGTATACGAAGGTGCCGGGGCTCACATTCAACATATTAATTAATAGTTATAATTGAAATTAATAGCTGAAAGTTTCTCATTTATTGGCAAGCCATGCATGTGAAAAATAACATCTCTCCTACTCCTTTTGTTAAACAGGTCAACGTACATGCTTGATTAAGAAATTGTGAAGGATTTAATAGGAACGCCTTTAAGTAATGAAAAGCAACAAGCTGATTTGGGTCTCGTTTGGAACCACGTTTGAAATCACTTATAAACACGTTTCATATAAACCGAGACAAAATTCTTCTTACATACTAATATCGTATTTCATAAATTACAACTGAAAATATGCTTATAATTCATTCCAAAACGGGTCCTTTGATTGCACATCAAGTCCTCAACAAAATCTCCAGCGTCCTGCAATATTATATTATATTTTAACAAAACACACAGAAGAGAAGGATCCAATACGAAGCATCCAACAAATATTAGCTTATGAAGCATAGAAAAACCTATGGATTCGCCTCTCTCCTATGGGTTCAACAGTTGAAGAGTCAGATAAGTTCCCCAAAAAGAACGAATTCGATTCCTGAGATATCATCCTGATGTTGTGGGAGGCCTCCCACAGTAAAGCATGCAATTTGAAGTTAATTCTCACGTAGTTAATGCTCTATCCTGACTAATGACTTCGGCATACCGAGATTACTCAAAGGGTAATGTCTGACTAGGCAGCTAAATTGTGTGTGACCAAACATGCGTCTCGTCCTTAATTTATAGATGAGCCAAAACCGCTGCTTAAAATTTTATCCAAAAAAAGAAACTATTGATTCATATGATCTGCTTTGCAAAACCATCAGGTCCGTTTGATCAGTATGAATTTCGGTGCCAAATTATGATTCATGTTCGTGAGGGACTGAGTCAAAATGTCCCCACAGAAGCATGCATTTTTCAAAGTGTGGCTCAACTGCAGCACTATTAGCCTTTACGGGGATTTGGTTACGTTGGAATTGGTCAGAGGCGACCCTTATCTTCCTCATTGATTCACGTCACCTCTCTTCTTTCTTTCCTTTCCCAAAGGTCGTAATTAAGTTTTAGGCTTTTGTTTTTGGCCATACAAAATTCATTTAAGATGGCACTACGCACGTCTTTCCTCTCACTTACCCCTTTTTCTCTCTCTAACCCACAAGCATCAATCCAACTTCCCTGTCCTCTGCCAAGAGCAGAAGAGCTTAGCTTGTTGCCTTTTCCTTTTGTTTGGATTCATATATTCATATATTCCTAAGCCCTGTTGAGTTGCTTTCAACGTTTTTCATGTATTTGCTGTCTCCTACTCCAATAAAACCTAGACTTGGTCCCAAGTGTATGTTTTTTTAATTAAAAAGTAGGTTAATTTCTTAAATTTGCATTTTGATAACTTGAGTTTAATTGCTTTCAAATTTTATGTTACTTAAAGAAGTAGGTTACTTTTGGCCCCAAAAAAAAAAGAGTAGGTTACTTGAATTTACATCCTCCCATAAGGGTTATTGTCAGAGTTTTTCTATTTAAGTTGCTGTGTAAATTTTTAAACTCAAATGATCAATCTAAGATTGAAAATAAAGTTTTGAGACTAAAAATATTATTTTAAAATGATTATATTTTATTGTGCTTGGAAACGTACTGGGCATATAATTTTTTTTTTTCAAAAAAAAATCTAATACAGATGAAACTAACAAATATATTCATGTCGTGATTAATCTTAGGATTAAAATCTCTTACATTTAATTTCTTGCGCCTAATTTAAAGTTGAATAAAGAAAAACAGATAAGAGTAGGTTGAAATAGACCCACCAAAACAGTGAAAGGAGATTGTCCTAAGATATTATATTCTAAGGGAATAAAAATACTGTGTCAATTAGAGTACATATATAGACACTGAAAGGACTAAAAATGGAAATGTGGATTCAAAAGGAAAAGGATGCCTTTTTTCCCCTTCACCAATAAAGACAGAATTTTAAGAAATATTTTTTAAGATTTAATTCAAGGATTCTTTTTTTTTTCCCCCCGAGAGAGTTCATTTGATAGATTATAGTAATTCATATGAAATTAAAGATTTGTATAGTTTCTCTTAATCCGTGTTACATTATCTTATCTAGCTAACACCTTTATTTCCCGACCAAGATCCAAGAAAACAAAATAGAGAAGGAAAAAAAAAACTTCAGTAACAAGTCTGACGTACACTCCTCCACCTTTTTAAATAATTTTATTACGAGAACATATATGTCTCTTAAGTCAACCATATGGTTAACTTAATTAATCACCATTAACTTGAGATATTTCGGAGATCTCTAGTTTTTGTAGAGCCACGGGTGTCTCAAACGCTTATTATTTGTTCATGTGCAATGAATTAATTATTTCATAATTATATATATTTGCATATATCAACCCAACACATATAGTAATAATATACTATGTATTTCCGATCTTTAATATAAAAACTAGTTTGATATTCAATTTAGTTCTAAATATAAGACTCCAATCCATCAAATAATAATTCTAGCTAATATATAATTATTAAGGATTTTTTTAAAATATAATATTTCTTTATTCAAATAACTAATTTAACAGAATTTTTTAATTTATTTAAATTAGTTAACTATATTAAAAGATGTATTATAAAGTTTTATCCTGTGATCTCATGATTCTATCATGGTGAACTCACCAACTTGGACACCCACCAGCGGCCACTGGGCTGTGTGATGAATCTGGTGGTAAATGAATATGCCACGTGTCAAACAGCCAGCGGACTCTCCTCAGCCTCTATCCTGCGGGATAATTTATTTAATCAACACAGCCTAAAATACCTATTATTTGGTAGTATATGGCAATCTTCCGGTCTTTAACATAAGACTGATTTAACTAATTTAATTAGATTAAAGAAGTTAGGTAAATTAGTTAATTATAAAATATGACATGTTTTTTTTCAAATACTATAATCATCTTTTTTAATATTATCTCTCATTTTTCTATTTGATTATAATTGAGGGAGATCCATAAGGGTAATTTAAGAAAAATTGATAAATATAATAAATAAGTTTTATATTTATGATCAAAATCAACTCAATAGTTAGATTCTATATTAGAAACTAGAAGAGTACTATATATCATATACGATTCAAGAACTAGCCATTAATTAAACCCGTTTAAAAGTAGTAACATTTTTAACATAATTTTATGGTCCATAAAATTGATTTGCATCCGAAATGAGGTGAAATTGACACCACCATAACATACATATTGAGTGAAATGAATAGATAAGAAGTTGTTTCTTAAATTAATTATGACCGAGTCTAATGACCATATGGGATCATGCCACGCGGCACAAAACGACAAAGATTGATGTCGTTGCACCCAACTTCACCCCCACGAAGCGAACACCAGAACGACTAATCACCCACTTCTCTCTCGTATTGTCGTTAAACCCAAGTTTCTTTCTACCCGAAACACCAACCAAAATTCCCCTACACATTTCTTAATCACAAAATTACACATATACTTTTCTTAATTATCATCATGTTAGGTATAAATAATACTCCTCCGCTCCTTAATATAAGACCCATTTAACTAATTTGATTAGATTAAGGAAGTTAGGTAAGTTAGTTAATTATAAGAAAAGTGACACATTTTTCCTAAAACACCACAATCATCTTTTTTAATACCCCCTCTCCCTCTTTTACTTGATTATGGTTGAGGGAGTATTCATAGGGGTAATTTAGAAAAAATTGATAAATCTGAAAAAGGACTCTTATATTTAGGACCAAAACCAACTCAAGAATTAGGTCCTATATTAAGGACCGGAGGAGTAACTTCTTATTTTTTATGTACAGCAAATCGCAAACGTACACACCCTTTGTGAATATATGAATTAGTTAATCAATATTTTTATCATAGAAGAATTACATTACTTACATAAATTTTCAAGTTAAACAAATTATTGTCAAGTTAATTTTCAAAAAATAAAATAATTATTTGGGCATGATTAAAAAATTGACAAAACACTACGTGGCTTAATTAACAGTAGTGAATATGATAATTTTAATTAATCAATCCACCACAAGCCAGGACGAAATAGAAAATAAGGTGCCCCACTTTTTACCCACACTTAAAAGTTAAAACCAAGCTCTTAATCCCCCTCCTCAAAAAAGAAAAAAAGAAAAAAAGAAAAAGATTCTCTTTCTCTCTCTCACATATGTCCCTAACCATATTCATTTCAATTCAAAGCTATATATAAAGAGCCCGTTATCCTCTGCCATTTCTCGGAATTCTCAGACCTCCCCGTACAGTGTTTTTTCTATTGTAATACACATATGTGTATATGAGAACAGGCTGGTCATCTGTTAGAACGAGAACTATGAAGGGATCGACAAGCATGGGAGACACGGCTTCATGGTATTGTGGCGTGGTGTTGTTGACTCTGATACTATTGGGGACCATCAGAGAGACCTCCTTGGTCGACGACGAAGAGGCCTCTCCTGGTGCCCCCCTCAGAGGAAACCAGCTCGGTGATCGGCCGTGCGACGAGATATACGTCGTCGGAGAAGGCGAGACCCTCCACACCATCAGTGACAAGTGCGGCGACCCGTTCATCGTGGAGCGGAATCCCCATATCCATGATCCAGATGATGTCTTCCCGGGTCTCGTCATCAAAATCACACCCATCAACTCTCGACGATGATTATTCTTCAGGTAGAAGACCTTTAATTAATTAATCAGACCCACCCAAAGCGCGCGCGCACGCATGTAGAGAGAGAGAGAGAGAGTCTTGTTATTTATTCTGTTTTGCTCCTCCGATCCTCTCCAGCTTCCTTCTGTTTTCTACTGTATACCCAGGGTTCAGAGATACAGAAAATTTTTCTTGTTCTTTTTCTCTTGGAAATTCTCAGTGGTCTGTTTGATTTTCTCATGGAAATAGAAATAAAAGAAGCGCTGTACAACCATTTCAATCCATCATATTCTTTCTTCCGATTCAGCTTCTTAGTTCTGGTCTGGCTTATTTGTTTTCCTTTGTATAGTTTTGTTAGTTTCTTTGTCATCGAAAACACAGAAGAATTAGGGAGGGTTTTGCTTTTAATTTCTTGAGTTAGGCCATGAATGGACATGATGAATATTTGGAAGAAGGTGAATGTTTTAACTGAAAAGGAAATATGTTCTGGTAATGTTTGGCGGAGATGCTAAGGCAATCGAGAAGTGCCATTTTCATTACGTAATTGCTTGTATATATATATGTTTTAATTATATTGGTGGCTTTTTTTTTTCCCCCTCTTTACGTTGTGTCGTAGAATTCAACGTCAGGAAAGCCAAAAATTTAGAGGAGGCGGCAATGGAAAGTAACTTGAGTCTGAATCAACGATCATAAATTCTTTGGAATTTTTCGCTATTCCTACTTTTTAAGTTTCGATCAGTCTATATATAATTAAAACGCTTAAATAAAATCACTTTGGTTATAACATGATTAATTAAACTATACTCATTAATTGTTCAATTACCGTACTGCTTCACAATTATAAGTCTATATATATAACGATTTGTACAGATAAACTAAATTTTCTTTCTATGGTCGAAACATTCAATTCAGCAAAGAGCACCGAGACTTGGTCACTTAATTTTAGAGAATTAGGTTTTTTTTTCCTTATATTTTTTCAGCCATGTGAATTTCCTGATTTTAAAAAGACATACAAACCCATATATTTCATGAAACAGACACTGGTTACAAAACAAATCAATCATTATCAATATCAATATATGTGCAATAAAATCCGTAGTTTACTAGTATCATAAATTAATTTTGCGGACACTATTTGATATCCGTGAGAAAATGTTTATGTATATATATAATATTAATATTAATATTGGTATGTGACAAATTAATTAAGTGGAGTCAATTAGTTCATTAATGGTTTTGGCAGACCCAGAGGAAAAAGAATAAAAGCTTGACGTCCAAAATCAGTTAAGACACACAGAGCTCGTTAGAAGATACAAGAGAAGTCTCCTTTGTGGAAAACTCGACTCAATTTATTTATTTTTTGGGTCAAAAAACAGTCATTTTTAATTAATCGTAAAAAAATTAAGTATACATTAATAGTAGAAATCAAAAAGAAAAGAAAAAAGAAGTTGAGTTCTGTTTCTCACAAGGGAGACTTTTATCTTTCAACAATCTCTGCCTCTTAACTGATTTTGGACTTCAAGCTTTATTAATTACTTTTATTACATTTATTAATTACTTTTCTCATCCCGTTTATAAAATAAAATGACTTTTTATTACATTCATAAGTCATGTCATTCTTTTCTTCACATGAAAGGATAACTATATTTTTCATTTATTATTTATGTATATTAAATAATGGTGAAATCGGAAAATTATTAAATTTTGATATCGAGTTCATGGAATTTTTTTTTTCAAGCCAGGGCTTGTTTAATGAGGCTCCTGTTATTTTTTTTTTTTCCTGGCCATCAGGCTCCTGTTAATATTTGGTTGCATAATTAGTTGTAACGAAAAGAATATCACATAAAATTTGATAAGCTAGGTGTTTGAAAGGCGACGAAGCACACATTTGCGTGAAGCAATAGAATTTTTAAAACAATTAAATTTGCTAGAATGACAATTAAAAACAAAAAAAAGGGAATTATGCCGCCTCTCATTGCGCCACAAACAGCTGGGGAAGTCACGGGGTACTTTGAAAATCACGAATAAATTAAAATATACACGTATTGTTCGTCAAATGATCAGGAGATTTCGAAACACCTGAACATTCTCAGTTGGATTCTTATTCATTATTTTAAAGCATATTATATATCATACATGAAAGTTCAGAATTATCAATGTTTGCTTTAGTTTTATTAACAATTTAATTCACTTTATCCTCTAAACATATGAATTTTTTCTACTAATTACATGTATAATAAAGAGAGATTTCATCAATGGGGGTACTAATTAATCGGAGTGTCTCTGTAAAACCAACATATAATTATTATAAATAATTAATTTAACTTTTTTTTTTAATATCTTCATATTAATCATATAATTATTACATTTAGGATAGTCGGGAATACAATAAAACAAATTTTAATAATTTTTCTTGCTATGCACATACACCATTCTATTGGAAACATGGTCGAATATTAAACATAAACACCTCTTCTAAAAAGAATGTTTGAATAAAAATTAAATGTGGATTTAAAAATGACGAAATAAATATGTGAGAGGAGTTTTATTTTGATTTATATAAAAAAAAATTAAAAATACTTTTTCTTAATTCCAAATACCTCTTAAGGTAAATTAAAATCTTAATCTATCAGGATGTGAGGGATCACTCTTGTACCAGACTTGGTATAAAATTTAATAATTTATGACAGTGAGCAATGAAATTGGGCCATGGATGCTTGGACGGCCCATTGGAAAGTTCATGTCCAAAATCAATTTAGAAGGAGAAATGATTGGAGGAGCAATTTCCGGATGATGACCTGGAGAGGGTGCTGGCTTAGGCCGGTACGCGTTGAAGAGTTACTATTAATTTTAACGAAGAAACACGAAATAAGAGAAAATAATAAATAATAAAGCAATTGACAGCAAATTCGATACAAACAAAAACCACATGCCATGTTTCTTGAATCTGACTCCCATTTGGTTGCCAATTTCAAAAATTTTATTCATCTATTCCAGTATTCCGTTGCGGGCATTTAAAAAAAATCTCAAAAAACAATTATGATGCTATTATTCTGGAAATACAATAAATATTAATAGCAATTTTACATTCTTATTTGAGAAAATATAATCATATAATATTATAGTCGGCTAATTTGAGTAGATTAAGAAAGTTTGTTTAGTTAGTTATTTGTAATAAATACCCTTACTAATCATGTGTTAACTATAATTATATTTGATGAAATTTTTAACATATATAACTGTCATAAGAACTATTTTTTTTTAAAAAAAGTAAATATGAGAGAAAAAAATTAAAATTAAAATTTTATATTTAAAGCTAAATTAAAAACTAAATTAGCTTTTAATATTAAGGACCAACTAATAAACACGAGATACTTGCATGAGGATGGAGCAGTTGGAAGCTGAGAGCTTGTATGGGGTATTGGGCCTGATCTCCTTCAAGAGGCCCCAAACATAGAAACCCCAACTGCTTTTGGGGTAAAAAATTTTAGACTTACCACGAGTTAGATGTAGTAGAAAAGGCTGATCCCTTACGTGCTTTGAATAAGATTGTCTCTGGATATTATATTTTAGTAAAAAAAAAAAATTTAGACTTCACATCTTTTTGTTTTTTTTTGTTTTGTTCAAATTAATTAAAGAGACAGATACTAGTAGATTCAAATTACAAATAGTATCAAACTCGCGATCTGTTATTTTAGTAAAACTTTATATCATTAGACTGCAAGATCTTTCACTTTGAAGATCCAAAATGCCATAAATTCGTAAATAAATTATACCATGTGTTTGGTTTTAGATCAGAAAGCAGAAACCATCAACAATTATACACGAAACATACATACACATTATCTTCATCCGTTCTCACTGGATAACCACATTTACATGACAATCCAAATCGTATTTGAATCCGCAGTGTCATATTAATCTGAAATATTTGTTCTCATTCGAAGAGAGTGACCATCATAAACCCTCCATCTGATGAATATATTCCAAGGCAATATTTTATTGCCGCTGCAACTGCACGTGAACTTGACGCCCTATACGGCTTTACCATGGAGGAAGACTGAGAAGACAAAAAAAAAAAAAGCAGGTTAAACTTACGAAAACTGAAAAGCCAAGGCAGAAAAAGCAGTCATGAGAAAAAGAAGAGAATAAGGCATGATCGAGCATATGCTGTGATGCATCAAGATCCCTGGCCCTGTTAAAGCCCCTACCCCATCCCATCCCATCCCCAGGAACCACCATAAAATGGAAGAAGCATCCCACTTTCACCCACTTTTCCTGGGGCTCACACAAAGATATGGAATTTAAGAGCTTCGGCCATGGGGGAGTTTAGTAAAGTGCAGAGATAGGAAAAGAAAAAGAAAAAAAAAAAAAGAGAGGATATTCGCAGCATAAGCCTCAAGCATATGCTTTTCCGTCGTTGGTTTATTCCATAACCAGTGCTTCTGACTTGAAGTATTTATAATTCGCTTGCAATGCTGAGAAAATGCAGATTGCAGAAGCAGCTAGCTACAAGATGGATGACGTGGGCCGTGAATATGATTCACTAATAAGCAAACCAGCCATAGGGCTTCTCTTTCTTGGCAGGAGATTATCACCATCTGATGATATAGATATATGTATTTCTTGCCAAAGGAGAGTTGCCCTGTGACTGCTTTAGCTTAACATGCACTCTCTCCTGCCACACCACACAAAAGGGTAAGAAACATAGCTGATTCTTTAGTCTTTGATTACTGATGCGAGACTCAAAGTCAATATTTTCTGATAATATACCCCAAAACTTTTCCAACATCTTGTTGAATTGTGAGTGACAAGTTTGCTAGAATATGACAGGATTTTTGCATGTTCATGTATTTCTGCAGATGAAGTAGTTCGTTCACTGAGCATTAAACACAAAGATTGCTCAAGTTAATGGGGTTGGCTCGAGATAACTACTGTTGAAGATAGATTCACTTCCCGGAAACTAGAAAGCTCATAATTAGTGTATAAATAAATCAATTTCTAATTTGGTTTTGCAGAACATGCCATCAAGCTATGGATATAAGCAGTAAGGAAAAAGGATCAACAATGACTTTAATTAATCTCTCGCCAACTTTGTCGTTGAGCTTTGAATATATACGAACTCATCATTAACCATTTTGCGATGAACAATTGATCCATGTATATATACCAACTATCCATCATTAACCCCTTCAATTAATTAACCGTCTAATTATAGAAACCAAACATTGATCATTGCCTTCTCAAGATAATGCTAGATTGCTAGCTAGCTCATTATTAGGCCGCTGGACATTTGATTAATCCATCATCTTCAAAAGGCCTGGCACTTCGTATTAACTTGAAGAACAAAGAAAAAGAAAAAGGGACCATATATAATAAGAAGGCAAAATTGGTTTTTTTTGGGGCGGGGGGGGAGGGCACGGGGGAAAATGAAGTTCTTATGTATAGGTTAAGAGTTATCAATTTTTAATAGATTAAATAACAGATATTAGGCTTGTGTATATGTAAAGTGCCCACTGATTTTTTTTTCCCCCACTATAAAACTGAAAACTTGCGTTAACAGCTTAAAAGCAAAGTAAACGTGCAAACAGACTCGAAGGATACAGAGAAGGACTATAAACAACTATCAGGACAAATAAAGCAAAAAACAATAAACAGAAAAACACAAAGGGAAATCAATTAGCCTCCATTATCAATATCCAACTGACTTCCTCCAGATGGCTCGTGATCAAACATTCGGTAGTTTCCCAGTAGAGCATGAGAATGCTTAGCAAGTTGGTTAGCTAACATTAATGCCTCTCACGCTGCATGGTTTAGCACAACTGTCCAATCCCTGCTCACAAGACCTCTAGCTTCTTCAATAATGTCTCGGAAGGGATGAGAAGGATCACATCCCCTATAGACTAGGTTAACCGCCTTAATGCAGTCAGAAAACAGGAAGACATGCTTGAAATTATTCGTCCAGCACTAGTGTAGACCACGAATCATTCCTAGAATTTCCGCCATCACTGGCGGAACCCCTGAAAGTTTGCAACCAAATCCACATATCCAAGCATTATCCTTGGTCGTAGCAACTCCTCCACATCCACATTGCCCACTCGTGAACATAGATCCATCCACCTCCAATTTGACAGCATCTTCTGGAATGTCAAGTTGGTTATTTATTTTTGGAGGGAAGAGGTTGAGAAATCCATTCCTTTGAATGAGTTCTTGGTCAGTAACCGTTCTGAAAAGGCTCGACTACTTTGAGAACTTTCGACAGGTCCCTCAGAGTCAAACAGCCTGTTAAATCTTGCCACACAGACATCCTAGCACAAATAGCCGGACAGCACGGACCAATTGACTTCTGTGTTTGGGTAGTCCGGCTTCATGAGAGGATTCCAATTGATCCAATCTACTCACTGCAAGGTGAAAAAACTATTATAATAAGAAGGCATCAGCATCGCTTCCATCTTTCTTTCACTCTCAGACAGTCGCGAAGTAAGTGCATTTGATTCTCCTCTTGCCTACAGTTCCATGGCCGCTCTCTCGATGGGCTCAAACCTTTGCAAAACCGAAGGTAAACAGTATGAACCCTTCCATGTGCCATCAGCCACATGAAGGACTTTATTTTTTCCGATACTCGCTACTACCAGAATTTCTTCCAAAAGCTCAGCTCCCCACTGATTATTGACTAATCAATAACCTTTTCTTGATTCTTTAGCTTCATTCTAATTTCAGTCTATTTTACTTTCATATATTTTAGGTAGAATTACGTGGAATTTTACGTTCACCCTATGACCTCTTCTGACTCCAATATGGTGTGTTAACTTTTTTTCTCAAAAAAAAAAAAAAGTAAAATATGAAGCATATTTTACCAACAAACCAACTTTCTCCACATTTTTCTATTGAATTCTTGCAGAACATGACCTTAGAAAAGCTCTAAAGAACTGCAAGCAATATGCGCAAAATAATATGGATTTGTGTATAAACATACGATAATGCTAGAGACTAAATTTGAACCCAAATAAAATTTAGGAACGCAAAAGTTAAAAGCTAAACAAATATTCAGAGATCAAATTAGAACTAAATAAAGTTGAGACAAAAGATAAACCTAAAATAAAATAAAGGGACTAACATTGTATCTTAGCCAATATTATTTGCATGTGATTACTCTTCAAGGGGTTGTGATAGAGCCGAATAAACCAAGTCAAATTTTAACATACTTATTGGATGTAGATGCGGTCCAAATTAAACTTTAGTGAAATTTTAAGTGAGTATAACTTGTTATAAGAAATGCAGTAAAAATCTCTCTATCAATCGAGCAAAGAGTGACTGCCAGTTCACAAACCTGCAGAAAATTCCAAAGCTTACACAGTAACAACATTGTGCTAAACATTTTAGATAAGAGTTCCAATGGAGAAAGAGTTATAAAAAACACAAACTTAAAAATTCGTGTATGTGGATGATTTGAAGAATTTATCTAAATTTGAATATGTTAACAAGTGAAATCAAAATCTGCAAGTGATACTTTCTAAATGAACTTGGCGCAATGTGGTCTAAGACTCTAAGGGACGCTACTTCATATAATGTTGGAGCATCTCCATGATGTTCTTGTTTTAAATTCCTCTCCAAATCAAAATTAAGTAAAAAAATATCTCAGATGCTTGAAAAATCTTTCTATAAACTCTAATTTCGTGCCAACTTTTATAACAATTTGAAAGATCAGAATCAGAATCGTGATCTTGTAAATCATAATGATCAGCGTCCAATATAATATCACTTCACAGAAAGGGAGCAGGGATATCCAAAAGTATAAGCCTTAATGAAGAGAAGATGCCATAAGCATATGACTTAATTACTGTTAAGCTTTGATGCCTATAAAACTTGTTAGGATATCACTTAGAAAAGCAAACCCGGTTGAGGGAACCTTTACAGAAGGCAAAAATTAAGCATATCAGTCATAGGGCGGGTCTCTTTTGGCAAGTTATAGTACATATATGCTGCAAATTCATCTCAGACTGTTTAATAACTCGCCAAAGGAGAACTGCCCTGTGAATGTACAGCTTAGACGTACGTGACCTTTGGTGAAAAAGGTAACTTCATCAATGTTATTGAGTTGAAGGATATTGATAATTTTTATGGATGTAGTTAGATGATTCAGTGGAGGCCTTTATCCTATTTTATTTAAGTCTATGATGGGTGAGATTTTATTCCTATTCTTATCATTGTGGCATTTTTCATTTATATAACTCATTATTAATTGTTTCACGCAAGCAACAAAGGCCTGAGTCCCAGAGCCACAAATTAGAAAAATAGATACTAACAACTTGAGATTACAAGCAGGATTGAATTCGTGATTGATAGAACCAAAAGTTGCATGCACCTTCATTTGTATATACCAATGGCAGAAAGTGTCGGAAAATTAAAGCTTGGCTGTCTATGATTTATTTCCATGGAATTCAAGTTCCATGAAAAATGAATTGGAGTTAAAATGGTTTCCGTGTTTTTGTGCGGTTTTGGACGCAAACTGAAATGCGTCTTGAACTAGACTCCCGCTCAAAAGCTTATCATTGAAATGAAACGTGCAAGTATCAAACACAATTAATTAATTCTAATTTCATTCTGAGCAAAATTCCATTCGCAAAGCAGCAAACCAGGATATGCTTTATTAATTAATCATTTAAACTTGCCCTTAATTGAACGAAACAAATCAATAATAGCTATTCAACTATTAATATTATATTGGAAAACTATATTAATATATAATGATCACGCGTGATCATTCTACGTGCCCACATTGAAACATAATTTATTATTTAAAAAAGAAAGAAAGAACAAAAGAACATTTTCCTCTTTACATATCTCTAATAAAGCAGGCGGCGAACGACCGGGTATATCTAGAACGAGTTATCCAATTATTGGTCACCTCTATCATATAATTTTTTTTAACAAAAAAACTAGACACACGCCAGTTGATGCTTATGAAATATTACCTCCGGTTCTTAATATAAGAATTAGTTAACTAATTTGAGTAGATTAAAAAAAATTAGTCAAGTTAGTTATTTATAATAAATATGTGTTGTCTTTTTTAAAATATTTTTATTAATTAAATGTACTTGTTAGAATTATCATTACTACAAAGACAATCTTAAAAAGAAAAAAATAAATAAATATGAGAGATAGAGCAAATTGTGGTCTTATATTTAGGATCAAGATAAAAATCAAACTAACTTTTATATTAAGTAATGGAAGTAGCATGAAGCAAGGAGAAGGTAATTTGAGTGTAGCAAGGAAGAAGAGTATTGAAGTAAAAAGGGTCCGCTTTGGACTTCATCGATGGTGCTGTCCCACCAAAGGCCATTTTGTGGTCCATTTGTTGTTATTGCAATCCACTTGCGTCTCTTCCTTTCTGGCCGAAGGTAGCTAAGAGGCTCTATGTTACGACTTCAGCATTACAAACTTTGGAAGACGAAGTCAAAATTGTAAGAGATAATTAAGCTATATGACTTTGTCAAGGCCTACCTATACTGCCGTACCAGCCAGCCACATCCTGACACAGTAATAAACTAACAGCAACTTCTGTAACAATTTTTCCGTTTTTTTCAGTCACCAACCGATTCCAGAAGGCAGCGAATATATATGAGCAGCAGAAACGTCAAAATTGATACATGAAGACCGGAGTTGTGTTACCGAGCAAAGGAAAGAGGAGAAAAACATGCCATCACCTGACCCAAACGAGGCCTCCCACAAATGCCCTCAAGGATGCTGCCCATCCCCATTTTTCAACTCTCCAGCATCTCAGGGAGAATTAGGCAAACCCAGAAATAGTTGTGCAGAGTGTCGCCATCGTTTTGCTACTGAAACTGCTTCCTCCATCTTCCCAAACACCCAATTCACTAATCATGAGTCTCTTCCATCTCTGCAAGATTCGTTCAGTGAATTCATCAAGGTTTATCCACAATACTCTGAGACTGAGCAAGTTGACCAGGTTAGAGCCAAAGAGTATTCCCATCTAATTGCTTCTGATCATACTTGCCTTGATTACATTGGTATTGGCCTCTTCTCCTACTCTCAACTGCAACGCCTTGATGTCTCGAAAACCCAAGACTCTTCTCCTTCAATTTCTAAAGCACCACCGGAATATTCAGATTTCCCATTGTTTAGTATCTCCTCCAGAACTGGGAATATCAAGACTCTACTGCTTCATGGTGGACCAGAGTCAGCATTTGAGTCCGCATTGAGGAAAAGAATCATGAGTTTCCTGAATGTTTCTGATAATGATTACTTCATGTTATTCACAGCAAATAGAACAGCAGCTTTTAAACTCGTGGCTGAATCTTACCCATTCCAGGCTTGTCGCAAGCTTCTGACAGTTTATGACCATGAAAGTGAGGCAATAGAAACAATGATTAGCTCCTCGGAGAAGAGAGGAGCCAAAGCTATGTCTGCAGAGTTTAAATGGTCACGACTCAGGATTCAGTCTGCTAAATTGAGAAAGATGATCGCGGGCAGGCGGAAGAAGAAGAAAAAAAGGGGGCTTTTCGTTTTCCCAATTCATTCTAGAGTAACAGGAGCTAGATACCCTTATCTCTGGATGAGCATAGCGCAGGAGAATGGGTGGCACGTATTAGTTGATGCATGTGCACTGGGACCTAAAGAAATGGACAGCTTTGGCCTCTCTCTTTTTCGCCCAGATTTTATTATATGTCCCTTCTATAAGGTGTTTGGGGAAAACCCGTCAGGATTTGGATGCCTCTTTGTAAAGAAATCAGTCATATCCATTCTAGAAGATTCCTCTAGTGCAGGAATTGTGAATCTTGTAGCAGAAAGGCAACCATTTCAAGTGTCAGACGATTCTTCAGGAACGGACATAAAACTTGAAAAAAAACCATCAAGATTACAAGAAGAACTAGCTTCTTCAAGCTCTTTCTTCAGTAAGATAACAAAAGTAGGAGAATCATCTGGGCTTCAGCGCACAAAGGCACCAGAAGAATCAAAATCTCCAAAGAGCTCTGCAAGCGAGGAAATGCATGACGCTATTGAGAGCCAGCAAGAGAGGAAAGCTAAAGATGGAGAAGATGAGTACCTTGATATTGAATGCAGATGTTTAGACCAAGTGGACTTGTTGGGGCCGATACTGATTACTAACAGAGCAAGGTACCTAATAAATTGGCTGGTAAACTCATTATTGAAGCTTAAGCACCCCAAAACAGAAGGGGTTCCCCTTGTCAAGATTTATGGTCCGAAGATAAAATTTGACAGAGGGCCTGCTTTGGCATTCAATGTATTTGATTGGAAAGGAGAAAAAGTTGAGCCTGTTCTTGTACAGAGACTTGCTGACAGAAGCAACATTTCTCTTAGTTATGGGTTCCTACACCATATCTGGTTTGCAGATAAGTATGCTGAAGAGAAGCGAAGAGTCCAGCATACCAAAGAAAGTAGAGGGCAGGAAGGTAACAAAAAATATAGAGATAACCTGGGAATAACTGTCGTTACTGCTGCATTAGGCTTTCTAGCTAATTTTGAAGACATGCACAAACTCTGGGCTTTTGTTGCTCGATTCCTTGATGCAGACTTTGTGGAGAAGGAGAGATGGAGATATACTGCTCTCAATCAAAAAACAATTGAAATCTAGTTTTATTTATTCTTCTGGATAATCAATCTTAGAAGACTTGAATGTGAAATCGGCTGAAGATTCATATGCATGGAAATTTAATTCTCCTTGAAAAAGATCAGTATAAACTTGTTCATTCATTTATTTCACGGGTTCAGAAGCCATATATAAAATTCCTTTTTTTCCCCCTCAAAACACTGCCTAATTTGTTTCCAACATTTTGTCCTTGCATATGTTCTCAGCAAGCTCCCCAACTACATGCTGAACATTGAATGACAAATTACAACTAGATATTGAATGCAAAATCAGATCCAAGTGTGAAGGGGAAAAAACAGAGAACAGAAGAAAATAGCATGCCCTTACATTTACTGAGAGAACCGAGTTCCAGCAGAAAGAGTGACATTAACAATCTGATTTTAATTACTATATAGCATGCAACTGATTCCATTGTTAATTCCGTTAACCATCCCCAAAAAAAAAAAAAAAAGGTTATCTCATGAAGTTCTCTTCAGAGATGAGGAGGTGATAGTTGACAAATTGCATAAGTAAAGTAATTGATCAAAGGGTATATGGTTGATGTAAAAAAATGTGGGGAAGGGGGGAGAGAAGGAAAAGGAGGGAGAATTTGAGAAGAAAGAACTCGTAGGAAAGAGGGAGAGAGTAACTAAAATGCTCAAAAGCACATGAACTGATAAGCAATCATATGACAAGGGAAACAAATAGCAGCCGATGTGTTGTATGAACAATCAGAGATTTTGCAGGTCATATGAACTTTGCCCTATGGAAAAAAAAGGGGAGAGATTTTGCACTATGTTGACAGAGACTAGAGTTTACTTGAAAATCATCTACAGCACATAAACCGATAAGCAATCATTGATTATACTTGACATAATTCAGATTTCTGCCATTTCAGACTTGTTTCTCTCAATCTCAACATAAAAGCCAAGCTCAATTGGATAAGGGGCGACTCTGGGACTTTACTAATGGAGGGTTACCACTTCACATGTAATTAGTCTAAAGCTCTCAAGCGTAATGAGTCTAGAGTTCTTTCAACACAAAACCAATAATTTGAGCTTAAGTAGGGCCAAACATACCTGTTTGATCAAGTAAGGGTATCAACATGCCCCAAGGGATATTTGATTGGTAAGGATGTTTAATAGTACATGAATATCCTCATTTCGTGGATGGCTACTATCTCCAATGACAAATTCATGATTCTTACCATCGATCCTTATTAGACTTGAACCGGGATTCTTGCTTATTCCTTTCTCCTTCATGAACCTCCTCACTTTTCTTACTTCTGCCCACTTCTCATTAGTTGCATATAGATTAGATAGAAGCACATATACGCCACTATCTTGGTATTCAAAATCATAAAGAAATTTTAGCATGTTTTGAGAAATCCCAACATTCCCATAAGTATTACATGCACTCAAAAGAGCTCCCACGATCTGTACATCAGGTGCCATGGGCATTGTTTTTATCAACTCGAGAGCTTCCCCCACCAATCCAGCCCTACAGAATAGATCAACCAAACAACCATAGTGTTCTAACCAAGGAGAGAGATTGTAGCTTCGATCTCTCATATGATGGAAGTACCTACGGCCTTCCTCTACCAAGCCAGAATGGCAACAAGCTGTCAAAACAGCAAGAAATGTCACTTCATTTGGATTTGCTCCAGATTTGATCATCTCTTCAAATTGTTTCAGTGCATCTTGCCCATATCCATTTATTGCTAGACCGCCTATAAAAGCATTCCACGTTTGAACATTCCTAAAAGGCATCACATTGAAAATCCGTTGTGCCTTCTTTACACAACCACATTTTGCATACATGTCAATCAATGCTGTTCCTATAAATACATCCCATTTGATATGGTTACGCTCAATGTATTCGTGGACCCAAATGCCATAATCAAGAAGTCCAAGGCTTGCACAAGCGGAAAGCGCACTAGTCAGTATAATCCTATCAGGCTTAAAACTAGAGTTCTGCATTTCACAGAACAAGTCCAGTGATTCCTTGGATCGTTGACATTGCACCAACCCATGAATCATAGTAGTCCAAGAAATAATATCTTTTTCTGGGAGCTCATCAAATATTTGCTTTGCTGCAGATGGAGACGCGCATTTCATGTACATATCCATCAAAGCATTACCCAAGATCAATTCCATTCCACACGTAACTTTTGAAATCTTTCCATGAATCACCTTCCCCAAGTTTACATCGAGCAATTTCCCAGAAGCTACAAGCATGCTAACAAATGTTGCTGCATTAGGCTCCACATCCATTCTTGAAAACAATGCAATGGCCTCATTAGGCAAACCTGCCTTCACATATCCAGATATCAATCCAGTCCAAGAGACCACATCTCTTACAAGCATATCATCAAACGCCTTACCTGCGCCAATACAATCACCACACGTGCCATAAACATGTACCAGGGTGTTCCCCACATAAAAATCACTCCATAAGCCCCTCTTGAGAGCTACCGAATGAAACTGCCTAACCTCCCTAATCCCTGAAAACTTAGCACAGGATTTCAAAACAGCTGGCAATGTATAGACATCAGGCACAAACCCATTTCTAACAGTCCATCTATAAAGTGATATCGCAGCCCAGGGGATTTCACCGGAGGCATAACCAGAAATCAACAAATTACATGGGAAAGAGCTGGAGCTCCAATCATAATGTTTCAAGAAATTGCACGTGTATTGGATTTCACAGACATGTTTTCCGAAAAAGTTGGCGGCTTTCGTAATCACTAGGTCGTTACTAACAAGACTAGAAGTTAACAGATATGCATGGATTTGCTTGAAGGTCCTCAAGTCATTGCATCTATGCAGGAAATCTAAAAGAACCCATTTCACAGAATGCGTAGCCTGGTTCATGTCAGTGACCAGATGACCATCAGCATTACGTAGATAGCTCCTTTTGGATTTGAGAAAAGAACGTTTGGATGACCGTCTCCATCAGCCCACCTTTCGCCGTAGGAATTATTGAACCACCCGTGAGGAGTCCGACTACGGGAGACCCATCAGAAGAGAGTGAAGCGCGATTAGGCAGGAAAAGAGCAAGAGAGAATGACGCGATATGATCTGGCCTCTGGCGCGGGGATTGTGAGTGCGTTTTTCACCAATTTTTAATTTTTTTTCCCTCTAGTAAATAAACGAGCAAAATTTTTCACGCAGAAATTAAGTTGGTGAGTAAGAGAGGTATGAAATTACACAAGGGCATAAACAATAAAATGAAAGTAACATTTCAGGTTAAAAAAAAATGAAAGAAACATTTGCTATCAAAATATAAGCAGTATTACAAATTTCAATGAAATTAATGTGATGGTCACAAACGCATTATTCTTAATTATTCATTCAACTATTCATTCGTATGCTATCTCTTATCTTTAAGAATTCATTTGACTTTTATTTTGATTATAAATATAAGATTCTAATTCACTTTGTATCTCATATTTATCTATTTTTCTAAGATAGTCCTTATAATAGTGGTAGTTCTATTTTATATACTCGATTAGCAATGTTATTTTAGGAAAAATAATATTTATTTATTACAAATAACTTACGTAACTAATTTTTTTAATCTACTTAAATTAGTCAACTGGCTCTTATATTATATACCTGAGAGTAAAATCCAAAAAAACAATTTTTTTTTTCGCGCACAAAATCATTTCTTGGCATGGTTACTCAACTTCATCCGTTTGCTTATATTAAGTAATGGAGAGGTGGCATCTAAGTCACATCATTCGTAAGTGTCTGAATAACGATCCAGTTTGATATAAGACCCCTGCGTGAGAATCTGTGCACAAACCATGCAGAGATTTCTGGTTGATGTGAATGATCCGATTTAATAATCATGGATGTCCTTTATTCTGATGACCCAATAACAGTCATCAGATCCCTCCGTGCTCCAAAGAACGGAAATTTATACCCCAACGTGTTGATGAGATTGAGCAAAGTTTAAGGCGAGTTAAGTTTAAGAATTGTGTCCTGTCCTGCTTCTGCTTCTTCCAAAATCCTTGAGGGGACGAGCTGCTTCTTTTTCTTCCAAAGGGATATGCTCTGGACAGCTATAATCTCCTTCGCTGCCAGATTTTGTGACACGAGTTGATTCAAATGAGGTTGCTGGCCGGAGCTGGACAGCTGCTGCAGCAACGAGCAACGAGCAACGAGCAATGATGAATGAAACTGAACAGGTTGTGGATTGCAGCAAAATCGTGAGTTATATCTGCAACTTCAAAACAAAAACCGATCCTGTGATCGAAGCCGTGTCGGTTACAAGAGAGTTGGAAGGAAAACAATGTTAGGCCAACTGGCTTGCACGCGTCCTATGATCGAAGCGGCGCGAATCTATTTTGTCAACTAGAGGAGCAAATATTATATGATATATTACTTTCACTTCATAACATAAAACCTTATTTGATTTTTATTTTAATTCTAAATATAAGACTCTAATTCATTTTATTTTTTATATTTATATATTTTTTTTAAAAATAAATCCTGCTAACAATAATAGTTCTAGCCAATACATTTAATTAATAAAGATATTTTAAGAAAAATAATACATATTTATTATAAATAACTAACTTAATTTTTTTTAATCTTTTCAAATTAGCCAATCAACTCTTATAAATAGGGTCAGAGGTAGTAACAAATAAGATTAAACCTGTGATCTTTCAATTTCAGGAATCTTTTATGCTATTATGCCGCTGGGTCCTTCATGTGGCTCAAGTATTTCATGGTACTAACAAAATAAAAACTTTATTTCAAGTGAAAGCGCATTCGACATTGCGGATGACTCGTGCTTATTCTTGCATCGTGATGAGTTGTGGAAAAGTTTTGCACGGGAATTAAATATGCTTTTGACAATTGGCAGGACTGCTTCTCATTTACTTACAGATCCTAAATAATTATATAATTAGATGATAGTGCTATGATAAAAATTTATCAACACAGACTAATATAGTAAGCTTTTCTTTTTTTTGGGTATTATAATATATTACCTCTTATTCTTAATATAAGAATTTGTTTGGTTTTTATTTTGATTCTAAATATAAAATTCTACTTCACTTTATCTCTCATATTTATCTATTTTTTTTACAATACACTTGATTAGTAAGGATATTTTAAAAAAATGATATCTAAATAACTAATTTAAGTAATTTTTTAATTTATTTAAATTAGTCTATTAATTTTTATATTAAAAAGACAGTAATAAACTTGGCATGATTAAAAGTTTCGTCTTTCTCTCGAGGAAAGATTCTTTCGAGCCCAGTACACAAGTCCATGACAAATTGGGAGATAGTCATATTATTTTTCCAAATTGTCCAGTTGGGTTGAGAAAGATTGTGTGTATCAAAAAAAAATTGTGAAAGATTGTTAGGGAAATTTTACCTAGCCCCGAGGTAGCAAATTTACTTTCAATAGACTTTGTAAAAATATAAAATTTTACTACACCCTTTTAGAATAAAATGAAATTAATTTCTGAATGTTAAAATTACCTGAACAACTCTTTTCAGGATGAATGACATTATTTTCGCTGTAAAATTTCTTATTTCAAATGTAAATGGTCTTATTTTGCTTGTAAATGCCTAAATTTAGTTTGATATTACCTCCGGTCTTTAATACTACCTCCGGTCCTAATTATAAGACCTAGTTGACTTATTTGAGGAGATTAAGGAAGTAAGTTAAGTTAGTTATTTGTAATAAATAAGTGTTGTCATTCCTAAAATATCCTTGCTAATTAAGTGTATTGGCTAGAACTATCATTATTAGAAGGACTATCTTGGAAAAAAATGTATAAATATGAGAGACAAAATGGATTGGGGTCTTATAATTAGGACCAAACAAAAAGTCAAAAGGGGTCTTATATTAAGGACCGGAGGTAATATCAAAACTAGTTGACTAATTTGAGTAGATTAAAAAAATTAGTTAAATTAATCATTTGTAATAAATATGGGTTGTCTTTCATAAAATATCTTTACTAATCAAGTATATTGCCTAAAATTACTACTGTTATAAGAATTATTATGAAAAAAATAGATATATATATAAGAGACAAAATGAAATGTGGTCTTATATTTAAGACTAAAATAAAAGTTAAATGAGCTTTTATATTAAGTATCAAAGATAGTGTAATACTTATATATGTTTATTGTAAATGAGCTTCTTTGCACTATAAAACCCCTTGTATGTCTTCTGAATGGTCTTATTTTTATTGTATACTACCTAATTTCTTGTGAATACTTTACTTCAATTGTAAATATATACCCTTATTTTTCTTAATCACCTTATTTGTATTGTGAAATCCCTTCTTCCAATAGTAAATTTATTTAGTTTACTTGTCACCTCCCGACGAGATTAGTTTTGTCTTAGAAATTAAATTATTTGTGTTGTAAAATCTCTTACATGTCTTATGAATCTTCTTATTTCTATTACAATCTCCCTGATATCTATGGTGAATGCAAGGTTACTTAAAGGTAGGGGTGTTCATGAAACCCAGTTGTCCCGCAATACCAGTCCAAGCCCGTAAAAAAATACCCAACCCACCCTAAAAAAAATGGCCTAAAAGAACTATTGGATATGTTCGGGCTGAGCAAATTGTTGGGCAGGGCTGGGCATCGGGCACGGTATGCTGCCTTGTCTATTTGGCCATGCCCGCAATAATATATAATTTTATTTACATATATTTTATTTGCCTCATATTTATTTCCTGAATCAAACATATTGTTGCATCAATATTCAGTATTCATTATACTTATTTATTTTTGAATGATTTTAAGAGTTAGAAACTTAAAAAAAAAATAAGTTTAATAAAATATACAAACAATTTTTTTTTGTCATGGTCCACTCCTCCTAGCTACTACAAAAAGTAGTTTCATAGTATATTAATTATTAATAACAAAATTAAGGCCAAGTTGCCATTTTAATATAAAGTTACATTAGATTATTTAAAGGGACATAAATAATTAGTTAATTAATGTGGTATATTGACCTGTTGAGTATGAAAGCCCGCCCTGCCCAACCCACATTTACCTAGCCCGAACTTAATAAGGCTTTTCATGAACAGAGTTGGGCAACGGACTGTATTTTTCAGTCTGTTCATTTTTTGGGCTAGACATCAGGTAAGGGTCTCGTCCTGCTCAGTCCTGTCCATGTACAGCCCTACTTAGAGGTTTTTCTTTCTTTCAGAAATTAATTTCATTTCACCTTCAAAAGGGGTGGTGAAATTTCACATCTCTATGGGTTGCCATTGGAAATAAATTTACAGCAGCGACTGCTATCTGGAATTTTTCCAGGATTATCTTGGAGGCAAGTTGTCTCCAACGTCATGGTATCATTTTTTTTTTTAATATCAATTTCCACCCCAATCTTAAATAACAATAAGAATGGTTTTATTCACTACATGAATTGTACGATATTATTATACTCTATTAATAATTTTATTAGATTGTTTGAATAGATTGTTAACAAAGATGTCTTGATCGGTAGTTATATTAGTCGTTTTCATTGGATTTAGAATTAAATTTCATGATATATTAATATTTTAAAAATAAGATACATAATTATGTATAATTGAAGAATCTGATGTGTCATAGAGTTAACTCATACATGACGCGAGTCTTTACTCTACCTATATGTATGACTTACTCTCTGGAGTGTTATATCAACTCCAAAAGAGTATGCGAAGATCGATGTCCGGTAGTATGACAATTTTTTTTAATGATTATTAACTTGATTGGAAGAATTCAGGTATAAACCCTCCAAGATAAGCATTCAATTGGAGGATGTTGATACTGCCCCGTAGTTGGCCAAAGCCATTGCGAAAGTAAGACAGGAAGGTATTGATAGACGGAAAATAATTAAAACAAGATGTTATAAATCGTCTTACTTAGGCAGCTATCCCATTCATTACGCATAGTCTGGAATTTTACCCTTGTTCATAGTTTATCAGAATTTTTTTTTGATAGGGTTTATTAGAATTAATATAATGAAATAAAATCAAAAATTAACATATTAATTTGACATTAAATAAAGTGAATGTATATCAATGATGAAGATATTTTGCTTAGGTATCTTAAACCAAATGACGCTGTAAAAATAAGATTTGTTTTTCATTGTAAAATATTCATAAAGTACATAATTTAAATATTCTGTACTAATTTATTTCCAAACAAATACAATTTGTAACCTAACCACAAAAGGTAATACTAATGTAAACCTAGGGTCCACTCCGCGTCGCCATCGTGGGGGCCCAGATTTTTGCAGAGAGTCTCCAGCCGTTGATCTCATCTCCGGGGCAAATAAATAGAGCCCTGAATCTGAGGGTCCCTCCCTCTTCTTCATTCGGATAAGTGGGGCTCTCTTCCACTGCTAGGGTTTGTTCTCTCTCTCCTCTCCTCCCTCTCTCTGTTGTTGCTTTTACATCCTTCTTTTTCTTTTTCTTTTTATTTTTTTATAAGTAATAAAGTGAAAATAAAAAATGGCCTTTCTAATTCTCAATTAGACCGTCTAATCCTTCGCAGCCACAAAACTTCAAAGCTCACAGTGCCTTCTGCTTCTCTATTCCCGTCCTCTGCGTCAAAAGCCAGTAAGCTCTTCAAATTTTTTTTTTAGCGCTCTTAATCTATAAATATGTTCTCTTTTGACTGATTCCCTCGGTGATTTTTCTGGGCTTCCGTTAAGTTTGGTTTTTGGTGCTAGCAGATTCTTCAGTTTCTTGGATCATTCTCTTCGGTTAAGATGGAAGGGAAACAGACCCAGAAAATCGAACACAAGCATGAGGATTTTAATGACGAAGAAGAAAGCCACAGTGCCGATATGTCTCCTTCTGAGACGAAGTCAATGGTGGAAGGGGCGGAGTCACATTTTCCAGAACCAGTGCCGCCGTCGCCGCCTGCGGCACCGTTGAAAGAAGAGTTTACGGAGACAGAGCAGAGCCCGGACAAGTCTCTTCCTATGCCGCTAACGATGTCAACGCCGGGGAGAAACGCGGTGGTGCCAGCCAAGAAACCTTCAAAGGACCGCCACACAAAAGTGGAAGGGCGTGGCAGGAGAATCCGAATGCCGGCCACTTGTGCGGCCAGGATCTTCCAGCTCACGCGAGAGCTCGGCCACAAGTCAGACGGAGAGACCATCCGTTGGTTGCTCGAGCACGCTGAACAGGCTATAATAGAAGCCACCGGCACGGGAACCATCCCCGCAATCGCCGTCTCCGTTGGTGGAACCCTAAAGATCCCAACCTCCTCCCCCGCGAGACCGGATGGACAAGAAACCCCAAGAAAACGAAGACGACGGGCATCGAATAGTGACTTCGTTGACGTGAACGATCCAACGACTATCTCCTCAGGGCTAGCTCCTGTTGCTCCAATTTCATACGGAACAGTTGGTGCATCCGGAGGCGGTGTTGGTCCGGGAGGACTTGTGCCCTTGTGGCCAGTGGGTGGGACCAACGCGTCGGGACCCTTCTTGATGTTCCCAAATACTGCTGGTTCAGCAAATCAACCACAATACTGGGCGATTCCGGCCAGTGCGACGCCGTTTTTCAATGTCCAAGCGAGACCCGTTTCGAACTTCGTCTCTGCGATGATGCATCCCAGTGAACAATTAGGGCCTTCTTCAGGTCCCATAAACGTTTCAAATGGTACTTCGTTTCGGGTTCTGCGAACTCTTCGTCGACGATGGCTCCTAGCTTGAGCTCAGGAACGAGTCCGACTGTTAGTGCTCCTCCAGCTACTACGACGACGTCGGCGACTCAGATGCTCAGGGATTTCTCTCTGGAAATTTACGACAAGAAAGAACTGCAGTTTTTGGGTCAATCTGCGAATTCTGAACCGCCGAGTTCAGAGCCTTGAAATTTGAAGTTTTTGCATTTTTAGATGAAAAAGGCTAGAGATTTTTTTTAATTTAAAAAAATGCAAGGCAGAAAAAGGGAAAAAAAAGAAAAAGACCCACTGCAGTTTTAGATTTCTGGGTTTTGTACCTTTAGTTGATTTTAGCTAGCAATATAATTTTAAAATTCTAATTTGTAATGCTTAATCTGTCGCCAATTCTTTTTACTTCGTGTAAATCACTGATCGTTTTTTCATAAAAAATAACAAATTTGCTAGAAGTTTATATTTTTGAACACCAAAAAATAAGTATTATATCTTCAATTCGATGAACAATATTGAACAACCTCTAACTTTCCAAGTGTTTCAGATAAAAATCTGTTTCTAGCCGGAGTTGGAGGTCATAATGGGTGGGGATATTTAATGGATCTTGGCATTTTGCCAATCATACAAATTTCTTAGTTTTAAGTCGAGTGATTGCTTCTTTTCAGGTAGTAGAAAGATGACAATTGTTAATAGAATGATTGTAAGTCTATTTTCGGATATTAAAATAGCTATTAATTTAATACCACATATGAGTACATGGCATGGAGAAATGATAATTTTTTGAGATCAAGGGAGAGCATGTTTAACACTGATTTTTTTTTTTACCTGGTATGTTTAACACTGATTTAACCACAAAATTAGTAGTATTTTTGTCAAGGGCTAGCTTTGAAAAAACAAATATTGATGCGGGGGACTCAGCAATGAAACAGTAATTGTTGGTGGAGAGGGGTCCCACCTCAGGTTCAGGGAGGACGTGAGGACTTGGTCTTGGTGAGGCGGGGTGGTGGGGTCCACCAAAAAGGTGGAGGGTGGGGCAATAATCCGATGAGAGGGGCGAGACGGTGCGAGTTAGGAGCGTGCGGGAATTGGGTGCCTCCGAGTAGGTACGTCACGTGCGGATGATAGCGCACGTGCCCTGTTGGGTAGTGGGGTCCAGCAAGGGGGTTCAACTTGGGGAAAAGCGAGGGGGGTCCGTGGACCATGCCGAGTGGTTGGACTTGGGCCACGAGAGACGATCATGTGAACGCTGAGGTTGAGGCACGTGTCCCTAGGATTGCGTGGGACCGCTCGTGGCTGTGGTCCCCTGCTCTCGTCTGCTTTATTAGTGTGTTGTATTAATTAATTAGCAGCATCGGCTTATCTTTATCGGTTGGGAACCCAGGCAGGCAGGGCCCCAGCTACACTTGTTGACAGCTGGATGTGCTGTGGGGACCGCCTCGTTCATGGAAACACACGTGGAACCATCGGTTTTATTGCCCCTCGTCTTGCGTCATCCTCAAGTAAATGGATCCTTGTGCTGTGCCTGTGCGTCCCGTTCCTCTCCTCTATTCACTGCACCTCCTTCCTCCTATGCCTCGAACGACGCCGTTCCATGGGGAAAATATACAAGGGCCAAAACGACGTTGTTTCACATATTTCTGTCAGGTAGTGGTAGTCGGCAGTGAGTGAATAGTAGAGATTGGAGACTGTGAGTATATGTGTATATATTTTAATTCGAGACAGATGAACAAAATTGAATTTAAAGAGAGTTTCGGGACTGAAGCTGGTAATATATCGTCACAGCACCAAGTAATGCTATTTTTAACAATCACCATGCATATTTCACTTCTGATTTGTTTTTTTGGAAAACAAAATCCCCTTTTTTGGGCCAAAAAAACCAAAAGAAAATTTACATTTCATTTTAAATCTTTTGGGTCCATTTTGAACTTTAGAAATAACACCCCACGCGCGCGTGCGCACACACAGAAGTCCGTAAATCTCTTCACCAAAAAAAAAAAGAAAGTCCAAAAATCTAACGAGGTGGTGAAGAAATAAAGGCCCAAATGGGAGATTTGGGAATGAGCATGTCGGCCCATTATTTGGGCTGGACATGAGGCTGAAATAGTATATTTGCAAATGACCATTGTTGCTCCAGTTGTTGTTCTGGCTTCCGCTGGGCCCACATAATCCAAAGCGAAAACGAGAACCACATATACTTTGGTGGGAGCAGATTTGTGAAAAGGCTCAGGATCCATAATTCTTGAAAATTTGCTATACCCAATTGTCATTATACTACTACAGTTGCCGAATCGACGTTTGTGGAGGGACCTCGATGGCCCCACTTTCACATTCTTTCAATTCTGTTGGCTTTGTTTGTTTAATTGCTTCTGTGCATTACAATTTAGTCGTGTTGTTTTCAAATTATGTCGGATACTTTTGTTTCTTTTATGTTACCAAATATAACTCAGTCAATTTTTTTTTTTAATTTATTCTCAAAGTTTCATTGTCATGAGCTTTTGTTTTTGCTCGCATCAACACGGCGTTGAAAAAATGATTCATTCTTATTTTCATTATGTGATTTTTTTAATATTTTATTTACCATAAGAATATTGTTATGGTATATTAAAATGCAATTTCACATAACAAATTAATTTCTGTGAAGTTTGTCATCCGACATATCGTAATCACGACCGAAAAAAAGAAAAGGAAAGGTCGATATGATATGGGATTTTGATTGGATTCTCCTCAGCATACTGTGAACAAGTGGACAATATTCTCCATTATTTTATTCGCTTCACACTATAACGAATACAAGCATATCACACGTGTCAATCGCTCCAGCGTGAAGAAAATCAAACGGACATACCCCGAACAACAGAATTCTAAGGGTAAAATAGAGGAAAGATTTTATAATTTAAGTAAAATAAAAGGTGGTTAGTTTATTTTGATTTAAAATTAATGGAGAGCAACGCAAGCGAAGATGATGCTGGCTGGTGTCGTTTTAAAATTATTTAAAAATTCAAAACAAGGAATGTTTAAAAAAATATTTAAAATATTTATATCGGGACATGTCAACTTAAGGCGTATTTATAAACATATTTACAAGCTATTCGTTTCTTTTCATGGAAAATTTATAAGTTACTCATTAACCATGTTTTCATATTATCAACTTTTGAATCTATACTCCTATACTTTGTATTTAAGTGGATCAATTTTCATGGGTCATAGGACTGTACTTTTTATAACTCTTTTTTTGGGAGCAAAACCTACCACTTTAAAATATTAAACTTTTTTTTTCCTTGGAAGGTCTTTCTCAAGCTTGACAAAATAAGAAGAACAGCTCTATTTTATGACCGCGGGAATGTCTTTTTTCCCATTATCTCATTTACTATGTGTGTTAATTAATGCCTTTCTATTTAAGGGCATTTTAAGGTTTAAATACATATACGGATTAGAAAATAATTTAACTAATTAATATTTCTGGGAAAAGTAATTAAGTACTTAATATATCAGAACTTTTAAGATTCTCTAATCAATCCTTAATTTATTTTAATATTTAATATTATCTTCAATTTTTAAAATTAGAATAAATAAGAATATGATCGTAAAAAATAACAATTAATATTATATTTATTCTTACACATTAAAGGGAAATGATTAAAACACATATAAATAAGAGGTAATGGCAGAAGTATCATATTGCCATTATTTTAAAATATATATTGTCATTAAGCTTTTACTGAAAATAAACGTATTGTTCTAAAAATATATTTATTGGACCAAGGCAATCACTTAAATATATCGGCATTAGTTTTCGAAATAACTTTATTTTATTACTGACATTAAAACAGCTGGCCGAAAAAGGAGACACATCAACTCATCCAAAAAAAGAAAAAGGAGATACATCTTATTGTACGTAGATGCTAAAATGTTGCCGGCAAAAAAAGAGGCGTTAAAATTTAGAAATGTCAAATTGAGATGAGCGGGATTTGTCCACTTTCTCTCATTTTCCCTTGCTTTTTCCTTCTATGGGGTTGTTCCTTCGTTACTCAACACACTTCTTCATTTACTTACTCAAAAGGATGCACATAATTTACTTTTGGGCTTCTCTGTTAATCTGTTGGCTGGCTTTTTCTCTGACTTCATTCCTTCTCTTTCCTCTGTTTTCTTCTGCTTTTAGTAATTGGGGGGGGGGGGGGGTTGTCAACTTTTAGCAGGATGACAAGAATAGAAGGATAAAGATGCTTGGGACTAAAACCGAATTAGGAACAACCTTGAATCTTTCTAGGGTTTCTGGGTTAGTGTTCCTGCTGCAAAACCTGTGAATCCAAACCAGTATTCTTTCTATAACCGCATGGTTTTTGAATTCATCATTCATTGACCTTCATACTCCCATTATCTTTTTCTCTGTTACTACCAGATTATTAAGTTCCCATCTTTCCGGGTTCTCACTTCTCATTAAACTTAATCTGGTGCATCTGGGTATCACAATTTTTTTCCCAGAAAAAGGTCCTTTGGTTTGCTTTTGTACTGCAAATATTGCTTTCAGATTGTGGGGTTTTTATTTGTTTTCAATATCTTATCATACCTTTTTCAAGGATCAACTACTGAACCAGAAGCTGTTCATCTGGGTTCTGGATTTCTCATATGTTGCTTGCTTTAGCAAATAAGAACCCGTGAAAAAGGATTAGTTTCTGGTCTGTTACCTTGATCAGTAGATATTATTGCTCCATCTAGGGTTTCAGTGAGGAGTAAATTTATTTTTCTAGCCCTTATTTTCTGGAGAATCTCTTAGAAATGGCGAGGGGGAAGGTTCAAATGAAAAGGATAGAGAATACAACCCGTCGTCAAGTAACATTTTCAAAGCGTAGAAACGGGCTTCTAAAGAAAGCCTATGAGCTATCTGTTCTTTGTGACGCCCAAGTGGCTGTGATCATCTTTTCACAAAGAGGCAGACTCTATGAGTTCTCAAGTTCTGAGTACGTTTCCCTTTACTCTATAGATGAAATATATACTTTCACTTAGTTGAATCCTGTGGTTTAACACACATATAGGTGAAATTCCCAATTAACTACTGGTTAATTTAGAGAGCTGTGTGTTACATATATTGGAAATGAAATCGCATGTATGACTACTGAGTGCTGTGCTTGATGAGGAATAGGGTAGGATGGACGTGTGTTCTCAAGATGTTTTGTGTTTGTGAGTTGTTCCTTTGATCCTTCATATCTGACTGTTTAATTAATGATCACAATTTCTCATTTTCATAAGAAGAAAAATTGAAGGAGCTTGAATGTCTTCTGTATTTTCAAGTTTTATCAGCAAAATATTTTGTTTGTTGCTTTCATTCTACAGAGTTACGACGACTGTTATGGTGCGCACACCCGCAAAAACCCAGAAAATAAAAGGAAAAAAAAAAGTTCTATCCACTCTCTGTGAGAGGCCATAATTAGATTAAGATCCTTAATGCCCCTTACAGTTATATATCACTTCATCATCTTGGACTCCAAGTATATATATCAGATTGACTTGGAGATTTTTTCCCCTTAAAATCTTCTGTGAAATAGAGATACGGCGGCCGGGACCATTTTATTGGATCATCAAGGCTTACAATGAGATTTTCCTCCCCTTACATCGTAGACTTATATTTCTTCAAGGTCTGAGTAATGGGTCAATATTCACAGCTTTACATCTGCTTTTTTGTCAAATTTGATGGACTGAATTGTTAATTAATTCTTTCCAGTGGGTACGATACGAATCTGCAGCTTGTAGGAATTATTTTTCCAATAAAGCATCTCAATTACCTGTGCAATTTTGTATGTCAACCGTGAACTTTTTCTCTCCCAGCAGAACAATTTCTGAGAAACCTTTTTGGATGGTACTCTATATATCCGCCTTGAAAGTTGATCCATATTTCTGAGAAACCTTTTTGAATGGTACTCTATATATACTCTATATATGTAAACTTGGAGCTATATGCTTTGTTAATGATATGCCTCACTAGTCCTCGCTAAATAGATCAGGCCCCTACACAGTGTCTTTCCTTGAAGGCTTATAGTCATATCTCCAAGCAAATTAATTTTGAGGATCAATGTGATTTAGATAATAATGAAATAAACAAGAAAGTGTCGTGTGGTTTAACAATGCAGAAAATGCAGGTTCAGAAGGCTCTACTTGGGCAGCTGAATTGATGTTAATGGAATACTGAACGGAATCACTTGAGGGAAACTCCATTCTCAAGTTTCCATTTACACACACACACACACACACACACGCACCTTAAAAGGTGGGAGGTTTTGCAGAACAAAAGGGGTCACAAACTCATAAGAATGAGCACCATTTTTCGTCTTTGCAGTGGCCAAGATAATATATATACATTTTTTACCACCCTTCTTTGAAATATATACATAGAGAGAGAGATTTTCTGTTTCACTTTCTATTTATTTGTTAGCACACTATAATCATGGACAATTGTGCTCTGTACATTCCGTACACATGTTTGGCTTTGATATTGTTTAATTTCTTGAAAATTTCTCCCATTTTACTTTGTTCAACTTCCCCATTATTAATTCTCCAATGGTTGCTTAGAACTTCGGGTAGCTCATGATGCCTATTAGGACAAATAATGTGTGTAGATATTAAGAAAACACACTTAATAAAATTTGAGTCTTCCAAAACTTAAACATTCAACAATCAATATTCTGATATTCATACTCATCGTCTTAGTTGTGAACTTAGATATTATGAATTTATATTGTATATGTTTCTCAGCTTGTTCAATGAATACTGTGTTACTTTTAAGCTAGTCGTTTTCAAACCTTTACTTGAGTATTATGACGATTACTAATTAATAGGTTAGAGTAAGTTGCGTAGAGTATTAAAGCAAAGAGTACACTCATAAATGGCAGTAGCTAAATAGAAGGTAAAGGTACGAGTCATTTTCAACTTGAGCTGAAAACTAGTACAGTGAAAGATTGCTTCAGATTGACGTATGTTTATACAAGATCTTCCCCTATTAATTCCGCCGCAGTGACTGGTTCATCAATGATCAGTGCGGAAATAGTGTCTTGATAACTTTGAATTAGTGGGTGTGTGTTTTGCTTGTATGTGTGTACTAATGATAGTGATCACTTTAATTTGTCTAAATATTTTATATTTAAAATATATATAGCTTGTTATTAATAACATTGTTTGTGCATTAAGGTTAATTCCATGAATTCTCTTGAGTGAAATCATATTTGTCATCTTTCCGATTCTTTTCTTGCTTTTATGACATGAAGAGATATATATGTTAGTTCAATAGATGTTTTCTGAGTTAATGGATACACTTGCGTTTATGTTCAATGACTCAACTGACATGGGATGGTTTATGGGATGACGTAGTCGCGTTTAAATGTTTGATTCTTATTTATTATGAAGAGATTTCATGTCTTCATGCTATATAAGTGTCACTTGTTTCTATGTATTATTATTGATGCTTTGATGATGATCATAGTTCATAATTAACGAATGTCTCCTCCTAATCAAGGTTAATTAATTTCAAGGATATACACAAAATGATCATTTTGGATTTTGGTCTTGATCCTACATAATCCGAATGAGGGCTAATTCCTAGGTATTTGAAAATTCACAGCATCAGAAAGACGTTGGAACGGTACTTGAAATACACCAAAGGCGATCAAGTAGTGGCCGACAAGTTTGAAGATGAACAATGCAGCCAGGTTAGACTCCGACGTTTCAGTTTTAAAGTTCTTAATTAAGAAGCGAAAAAGAAATCCGTATGCCTTATAATTCCTGGCGGAAATCATGGATTTTCTTATAACCCACTAGTCTTCTGTGTTGTTTCATTCTCGGCCTCAATCATGAATCACCAAATATATATGTCGAAGATCAAGGGGAAATTCTGTTAAGACCCAAAGGTTAACTTGTGATTACGTATATATTACTTTCGATCCTTAATATAAGAGCTAATTGACTAATTTCAGTAGGTTAAGAAAATTAGCTAAGTTATTTATTTGTAATAAATATATATTGTCTTTCCTAAAATATCCTTACTAATGTGTGAATTAGTTAGAACTATCATTTGATGAAACCTTTAATATGTAAACTACTGTAAGGACTATTTTGAAAAAAAAATAGATAAATATGAGAGACAAAGTGAATTAAAGTTTTATGTTTAAGATCAAATTGAATGTTAAATTAGTTTTTATATTATGGAACGGAGTTAATATGTAGATATTTTGAAGGGGTTGGCGAGAAAGAGAATTTAATTATTGCTCCTTTGAAAAGACTCATTTATTTGAGTGCCTACTTGTGGTTAATATATATATATATATATATATATGTATGTATATATGCAGCACCAAATGAAGCTTGAATCTGCAGTCATGGCCAAGAAGATTGAGCATCTTCAACTTTGTCAAAGGTCAGCTAACTCCTTCAAAATTTTGTCGTATAAATTAAGGCCTCTCTCTCGCTCTCTGTGGGAAAGTAAGTGAACGATTTGGGTGTGTTGATTAATTAGGAAACTAATGGGACAAGAGTTGAGTTCATGTTCAATTGAAGAACTGCAAGAAATGGAGAATCAGCTTATCACAAGTTTGCAAAACGTGAGGCTTAGAAAAGTACTGCTATTGCAACAGCAAATTCAGCAACTACAGCACGAGGTATTTCATCTCCTTTATATCCAACCGAAACCCTAGTTCTTAGTAATCACTACATTTAATGCCTCACATTTTCATATTTTATACCTCAATTCAGGAAATAGAGTTGGTCCAAGAGAACGCCAGCTTAAGTAAATTGGTGAGTTATATATTGAGTGTATCAGAAACTATAAGATCCCAAGAAATGAGTGTAATCTCCCAAAAAAAATTTCAATAACGAGTGAGCAATATAGACCTAGACCTGCTATTGTTATTTTCTATGGCAGAACTTGTTTTTGCATGCCGCTCATTTGTTGTGAAATTTTTGGTAATTACATTCTTTTGAGCTCATGATGGTTCTCCCTATTTATTTTAATTCTAATTTTTTCCTCCGATAGAAAACATTATATCTGATTAAAAACAACCATTGCCCTTGTGTTGGTTAATAAGACTCAATCCCCTTCATACATAGAATTAGATGAAGTGAGAGGAAAAAAGTATAAGAAAAAAGTAATTTATAGAAGAGATGTATCCCTGATAACTCTAAATAAGAACAATAGAGGTAATACGTATCTATAACTTTGATTTTTCTTTTAACTCTCGACTTCACAACAGCACAAGCAGCATTCAAACCGAATGTTGCCTTGGGCTTTTCTTTTGGGAAAACGGGTTATCTTGGGCTGCTTTTCTTCATTGCCATTTGGGCTCAACAACTGAAAGTCAACTTCAAGACCCCACTAACTGACTTTATACAGAAAACCAACGAGAAAAAGAAAAAGAAAACCCATCAGCAATCAACATGCCAGCCACGTATTTTCAATTTCAGAATGATTTTGATTCAGTAACACAAAGCTAATGAAATTGTTAATATCATCACTTTGGCCATTACAACTGTACAGAAGCTTGTATATAAAGCAGATCCAGAACTGTGATTTTCTGGGCTTATAGAATTATACTGTTGGTGTTGATGCAGTGTGGAAGTGGAAGAACACAGTGCCAGCAGCAATGGGCTAAGCACAAAGAAGCAGAAGTGGAAACTGAATTATGTATTGGACTCCCACAAAATCGATGTTCGTAGTCATAAATCCCATGTTGCTGTGTGTCTGTCAGAGAGGGTGATTCTCTTTGCTTAATTTCATGCTGTAAAATCTGTCTGCTCTCTAGTCTTCATTCTAAGCTCGATATTCTATTCTCAATCCGGCTTATGTTTTCATTCCCAACATTTGTCTGTGTCTGAAGTGAAATAAACGAGGAAGTAAAAAATAAGATTGTTGTCTATATTAAGAGAAGAGATACGGAATGATGTCGTTTTTAGTGTAAAGGGACCAAATTTGTTTGTCCAAGTGTAATTTTATAGCACTCACCTACCAGTACCATATCATATATCGATCTCCATCTATCTTTTTTGAAATTCAAAGCCCGTGTATCGTTTTGTGCTTGTAAGTATTAAGATTCAGGTGCTTTTTAGTTTAAATTTGTGTCGTTGGCTATGTTTGAAGGTGACATGGTTCGTGCAGATTATGAATCTTGTCGAATTGAGTAAACATAAATAAATAAATGTGTCTCCTCATTACTTCCATTTCGTCCATTTTTTTTTGGCTTCTGCAACATCACGTGCTTCATATTTGGATTCTTTCGTTCCTCATCTTCCCTCCCTTGTTTTTCTCTCTTTTTTTTCCCAGCAAATTCAAATAATTCATTGCACCATTTTATCAATATCAGTGGCACACACACACACACACACACACACCCTGTGCGATACATGGTTCAATATATAATGATCCATCTGCAATTCTGATAATCTTAATTCGTTAAAGAATTTTATCATAATACCCACTCGGTCGGGAAATGATAACAATTATGCTGTTAAGGCCATGCATACTTAAATTTCTGATAACGAGAAAGTGGATATATATATATATATATTATTACAGAGAGCAACATCTTAATTAAGTCCAGATTAAGATAGGGTTCAATTAATTAAGGACAATGAGAATGGGGTTCATTAGTAGGTGTCTGGGTGCATGGGCCCCACACCTCAGAAAGTTCAAGTTTTTATAATGTTTCTTGAAAGAGAATATTGAAACAAAATACACACACACAAACACACAACAGGCAATGATGGGTCCACTCCGCTGTGACTCTATGCATCACTTTCTTTGCCATGCACAACAATAATGGCTGCTTTGAAGACTCTGTGAAATAATTAAAGACACACTATTTCTTCAGACAACACTTTCAGGCTTCCATATGCTTCATCAAAATCTTTGTGTAAACTTGGTGTAAATATACGACGCAATTTGGTCTACCCCATTAGGACCCTACGTACCTATATTTCTTTCTTTTCTTTTTTTTTTTGAATGGCATTTGAAGTATATTATAGATAGCCATATTTATATATAGAACAGACGCTCCTCTGAATTTTCTTTGGCTGTCATGTTCTTATCTTTGCAGATCTGAGCCTTTTTTGATCAGAAGAGTTGTCAATTTTCCCTTCTGGTGATTGCTTAAATGGTTTGATACCCTTTGTCTTCTTTGGCCTCTTCCACCTTTTCATCATTCAAATTATTTACAAAACAATTCTCTCAAAGGAAAAGAGGATTTTTTCCCCCTTTTTTCTTTTTACACTTTTTACTCTCTGCCGTAGTCTGGTGTATAATTCATCAATCATTTAGCTTGCTCTTCCATTTACTCGCAGATTTTCACATTTTTTAATTATTATTATCAATGCATCTATCAATAGATATTATAGTACAAATTAATCTTGAGTTCTCAATAACAATCATATATAAAATTATGCGTAGCATAAATTTAATGCGGACAATAAAACTTTTAATCCTTCATCTGATTATATTAATTATAGTAATCAAGACAAGACAGGAAACGTCACAAGCGACAACAACAGAACAAATATGAACTGCTATAGAAGAGTAGTTGGGGTGGTAATTTTATAATTACAGGGACCAACTTCAAGATTTGAAGGAAAAAATAAGACATAGAAGGAGGAGGCTTATAATAGGTGTAAGATGGGTCAGGAATAATGTAAGAGGAATCTGCCAAGTTTTGCGCAATTACTGATTCTTGCTCCGAATATGACTTTCATGTGCTTCCTCTGTTTTTTTTTTCTTAATAAATTATTTATAATTTATATTTTACATTAACATATGTGTCATGTTGTTCGCATAATGTTACAACGGATAAGATGTTCAATTTCAACTGTGTATTTGAAAAATTATTATTTATTCCGTTGAATATTCATGTGTTGGAGATGGAACGTTCCTACACACACACACACACACATCATGTCGGACACCATTCATTACATGTTTGACATGTTAGGGTTTGATATCGTCCTCGAAGCATCTTATAATTTTCAAACTTTCACTGGGGCTCATGTACGTGCACAACACTGCACTTTCAAAACTATTTAAACATTTTAATTATTTAAAAATGTTACTCTTGATGTCTCATAATAAATTTAAAATATCTCTTTTTTTCAATTAAAAGTCAGGCAATAACAATTTGAGATTACAAGTGAAATTGAACAAGCTCTCTTCTACAGTTCTATTTATAAGAAAACTTTCATAGCACTAAGCCACTAGATTATTAGTATGTATAAAATTAAAAACACCTGAAGGCGGAGATTAGCAAAGGCAGATTAACGTTATATACACAGACTAGAGAGAGAGAGAGAGAGAGCACGTGATTCTATCTACAGTCTATACTTGTCTAGTCTCACGAGGACATTGACTTGAGACATCAGAGGAATTAATTATTCACAAATTCGCTCAAAAAATTGTATGTAGGTGGAATTATCATGCCTTAAATTAACTCTTAATTTTCATCTAATTAATACAGCACATATATAAGTCATGCAATTTAAATATTCCCTAAAATATCCCTATTGATTGTAAGAGGTTCTTACCAAGAATAATTTCAATGCACATAATTAAATAGAATAGTTTAGGAAAGTCAACACATATTTGTTACAATTAATTAACTTAGCTCATTTTTTTAAAATTAATTATTTAGCTCTTATATTAAAGATCGAAGGTAGTAATTCTTATAAAAACTGTCAAGGTTATTGTGAACAAAATTTTTTATTCAGTTGTATCAATATGAACACAGTACTTTGGTTTAATTGTGATCATATGTGGGTCAAATTAATCAAAGCAAGATGTTGATCATGCATACATACACACACAATAACAAGTAACAATGACAAATTCAATGGATCAGAGATCAGAAAGAGTGAAGAGAGAAAATGAGGAAATGTAAACATTTGGCGGGAAGTTGAAAATAGCGACAAAAAATTTGCAGGCAGATACATTCATATTGAAGACGAGAAGCATGCATGCATTTTGAAATTAAAACCACACCTCATTTAATCAGCAGCAGCATCCAGCGATGATGGAAATAAATATATGTGAGAAACTAATTAATAAGTGTGTATGTGTGTGTAACGAGCTAGGTACAGGGTAGAAAACTAGAAATATTCAAATATATTTACAGTAGAAGCAGAGAAAGAGATGACGATAATGATGAGGTTGTGGGCCCTGTTCATACATATGATTACTATAGGAGTAATTAATGAAGTCATAATCCTAATTAATGTAGGAAGCTGCAAAACACATGGCGGTAAGGATTCGCAGGGGGAAAAACAGATCAACGTTGGTGTAAGGAAATTTGAGTAGAGAGAGGCTTGGAGGGAGGGAGGTTGAACGGTGATGGCGCTGAAATTGATTGGAAATAGAATGGAGGGACATTTAATGACAGTGAGTTAATGTTACGTGCTGTAGGAGATGACCTAAAGAGGATGAAGGAAGGGTCGTTTTCTGAGACCTGACATCAATATTTGCAATTTCATCGAGTGCTTCATGCATGCTTCCAAACAACATGTATTATGTCGTAGCTTCGTGTCTCAAAATACTTATAATTATTAAAATATTTAACAGTTTATATTCATATATTTAACCGCGTTTTCAAATTTATATACTCTTTTAATCCTATTTATAGGGTAGAGAGAAAATTTTTTGTATGAATGTATAATTTTACCTATCATTTATTATTGTGTTGACTTTGTTTATATAAGGTATAATGCATATTAAATAAGGATAAAATTGAAAAGTCATTAAATTTTAAATGAGTTAATGAAATTTAAGGTTTTTCTTAGTGTGTGTGAAACATGCTGAAAGTGCCTTGTAAATAGGACCAGAGGAGTATGTCAGAGGACACAATAATAAGGATTATCCAGTTAATAATATAATGATGGATGTGTCCTTTAAGTTATCATAATCATCGTGTTTGTGAGAAGAGGTACACAATCAGTATTATAACACTAAATTAAAGTTAGATTAACTAGTTATGAATCTTTTCAAAAGAAGTTGAAAGTGACCCCCAAATCTATGTTTCCTCTAAATGAAAAAAGGCCTCCCTTAGCAGGAAAACTAATCAGCAAAGGACAGTGTTTCTGTTTTGTCTCTCAGAGAAACCACCACATTAAGACATTGCCTAGCTACCTGCCATAATGAATATAATAAGTCAGTAACAGATTATTTCACTCTTGGTACTTTTCTAATAAAGCACTCTCAATTCAATAATCAAATTCAGTAGTCATCATGATCGGCTTGCATTCTTCACCATAAAAGAAAACATAATAATTCTATATTATTAAAACAAGTGCAATACTCGGAATAGTTATGGATGAATAATAAATATGTCTTTCCAGGTTCTTATAACTTATCCATAAATTCTTGAAAAAAAAAAGTTAAATTGGTTGTTTTTAATTAATATGTATAGAATTTTTTATACTAAGAAATACTCCTACCATTTAATGATTAAAATTTAATGTCCAGAGATTAAAATTTATAATAAATAGAGTAATTATAAGAAAGAAAATTATATCAGACAGCAGGGAATAAAACTACCTAATTATTCAAAACCAAATCAAAAATTTATAGATAAATCTTATATTTAGAATGGAAGTAGAATGTACCATGACAATATCATATTTTTCCAAAAGATAGTACTATTCATTCATTTAAGGATTGGTTCTGTTGATAAGAACCTGATTTAATTTATTTAGTTCCTAGATAAACATTGAAAAGCATGTCTCCGTGATAGTTTTGAAAAGAGAGAGGTCGTGGTGATTTTGCAGATCCCCAATATTACCTCTCATTAAATAACTACAAGGTGTGGGAATCACATTGTTGTGTGAGCAAAGGGAAGGGGAGAGTGGGTTTCTCTCTCTATATATATAAAAAGTAAAAACACGCGCACACACAGACACACCCAACACATTTTAGTGTGCGAGTCACAGGGCAAGAGATAGGGATATCGTCATCTTCCTCAATTCTTAATTCCTTTACCCATCTCTGTTCCCAATAACAGGGCAGGGCTTTGGTCTGGTAAAACCTTGGAAGTGAGTGCCATAAAGATAGAAAGATGGGGAGGGGGGGAGAGAGAGAGATGACATGGTTCTCAATTTTTGAAAAGCGCTCAGATTGCATCCCCATTCTTTATATTGTACTTAATTCCTTACATCAAATGTGACCGTTTTATGCTTCAAAGGATCCGCTTTTCTCGCTTCTTCATCTGCATAATATATACCCTTTAAAAGCTTGCATAGCTTTTCATGCCAAAGCCTCCTGCATCCCTGTCTTTCTCTTCAGATGATCTAAGAGAGCTTCTGGTACTGTCATTTTCAACCTCATTTGTTTGAGACGACTACTTTTTCCAGGCCATATCTTTTTTCCTGTTTCTCAAGTTCGAGGTCATCGTCATCGTCATCTTAAGGCAGACATAACAAGCTTAACAAGCTTACCAATTATGGGGAAGGAATGGTATTGGACTGGAAGATCATCAAAACGAGGGGAAGGAGGAGACGCAGATGCACAGAACCCGTCAGGCTGCATGTGTGCTTTCTTTCAGTTCTTTGATTTTCATCCTCTCCACTTTCCCATTCAACAGCAGCAACCTTCTTTCAAGCTTCCCTCTGACAACCCAGAAGCCCAGAGCATCCCAAAAGGTATTCTTCTAACTACTCTTCAACGATGTTGGTCCCAGCTCCCGACTACATTTTCGTTTCTAGAGTCATGGTTTATAGTTTTTTCCATTATTCAGGAGCTGAAGCACCTAGAAATAGCTTCGAATCAGAGGATGGTACAATGTCCTTTATCTCAAAAGAGGAAGATTTAAAAATTCCGGTAAGTTTATCCATTCCAACCTTTTTTCTGTTTTGAGTAGTTTATGCTGTCAAGTGAGTAATCACAATGGTGATAGAAATTTTGCCCACTTCACCGAATAGTTTGTTGATTTTGGAACTCCAGAAGAGAATGCAAATTAAAACGAGCAGAAGAGCCAAGGGAGGAAGTGGGAGCGATCTTTCATCAGAAATCAGCAACTCTCCATGTACAAAAACACCAACTTTGGTTGCCAGATTGATGGGTTTAGATCTTCTTCCAGATGTTCAATCTCCTCCTTCTTCTTCATCATGTATATCTACTCCGAACACGCAGGGGAATTCGCGCCTTCACCGTTATAAACAGAGGCAAAACATCCTAACAAAACCCAGAAAGAGTACAGGCAGTGATATTGCCCCTTCTCGTTCCTTGCCTGAGACTCCTAGAATATCCTCTGCAAGAAGATCTGATGCTGATCCTAGGCTATCTCTCCAAATCAACAAAGAAAATCTGGGTCTTGGTGAGGAGTCGGAGCTCCCTAGATTCTCATTTTCAAAAAGGAAATTCGAAGAGCAAAGCTGCAGAAGTCCAAGCCATTATGCGAGACAAATCGTTAAACAGGTTAAAGAAAGTGTGAGCCGGCGAGTTGGGCTTGACATCACCAACACTGTAAAAAGCAGAGAGCAACCTAAAGAGGAACTTCTTGTCCAAATCAGAGTCAAGAAATCTCCAAAGGCGTCACTGAAAGTAAAAGATGAATCCAGTCCCGGAGAGAACCCATGTCCACCTAGTTCTTCCCCAAGGCTCAGATTTATGGAAGCGAAGCAGAAGCCAACCACCAAACTCCCATCGCCACTCAACCCAAAAGATCAAAATTCACACCCAGTAAAACTGCCATCACATCCACCAATCAACATTCAACAGCAGAATCGAAGAGTTTTGACTAAGTCAAAGCCTCAAGCATTTGCCGCGCAGGAGTTGCAAAACCAGAAATCGGTCCCAAAATGCAACAAAGATGCCAATGAAAGGTTTAGTGCAAGGCTCAAAAAACCCCGTCAAACATCAGATTTTAACAGAAACAAGCAGGAAGAGCTTTTCGTTCGCCCTCCAGGTCCATCACCCACCAGAGCCAGTGACACCAAGAGTAAAAGCAAGAGAACAAGCAATCTTCTCAACCTCACCAGGATACCAAATCTTCGTCCCGTCAAGACAGATCCTTCTCCTCAAGAGACCAAAATTCCTCAGAAACAGGTACCGACAATTGAATAGTTATACTATTTCGATTCGAACTTTTTGGTTGCTACTAGTAAATTTCAGCCATTCGCATTGCGCAGTATGGTTTTTACTACCTACATGGTAATAAACAGTAAACCACCACACCGTTCTGACCATTCAAATTTCCCGTTTCTCTCACCTCCCTCCAAATATATATATATAAAATAAACAGCCACAGGAACCAGATGTTCAACGATCAAAACGCAGCACACAGTTATCTAGTTGTCCGCGCCAAACGTACAAACAGGAAGCGAAATGGATACTCGCCACCCGAGAAGACAACGACGAAGAAGACGACAAACCTAACGGTGCACCCACAACCGGAGCCTGTGGACCATCAGAGCTTGAGTACGTCACAAACATATTGAGCCGTACCACTGAGGAAAACGAAGGTGCCAGAAATCGAGTGTCCTTACACTCTTCGATTTTTCACCATCTCGAACAGTGCTACTGCCCCACCTCCGCTTCCACTGTATGCTCCGTCAGCAACGTCGCAGAAAGAAACAATCAACTAGGTCTCCGATGCAACCGGAAATTACTGTTTGATTTGGTTGATGAAATTCTGGGGGAGATTCTAAAACCATGGGGAAAACAAGACAGTAGTTGCCCCGGATCTGATGTATTAGCTTCCCAATTGATGGCGGAAGCAGTGTGCAAAAGAATACGAAGCTTCCCGGAAGCAAATTGTGAAGTGCTGGAAGACATTGATGCGTTGATCGAAAGAGAGGATTTGGGGAAGATGACGAAAGAGGGATTAGCTTGTAAAGAAGAAGAAGAAGGAATGTTAGTGGAAGAAATCGAAAGGAGCATACTGGAGATGCTCTTGCATGAGGCGCTTGGGCCATGCGGCCTAGAGTAGCATACGACGTCGTTTACTGGGAACAAGATTCAGAGCGGGCGTCACATGGAGGCATCATCATGGGCAGGGATGGGCGATTCCCGTGAAGAGATGGTGGGGTCCAGTGCAGGTCGGGTTTTGGACACGTGAATTTTGACTGCCAGGACGGAACTCTTTTTTGATTGGTCAGGTCTAGGGACAACAGGAATCATATCAATAAAAATTAAAATGTTCAATATTCAACTTCCAATACTAGTTTAGGAAGGAAAAAAAAAAAAGAAGGGGAAAATCCCAACATTGCTCTCTCTCTCGAGTTTCAAGATTCAAACTTGCTGTACATGAATTTTATTTTTGAAAATGTGATCTGTTTAATTTTGAGTTAGTCTAAAAATTTTGATGTAAAGCAACTTCTATGGTTAAAAAAAATTACTACTCCTTAATGGCCAAAAAAAAAATTTGCTACTTCTAGAAGTAATTTACTCTACGGAACTCGAAGTACTAGTATTCTTGATTTTGAGTGTAAGACTTTGTGCGAATTTTCTAAGCAACGTATACAAGATATTGGATTGTTTCTTAAAATACGAGACATTGAGGAGTTTGTATGATTTTTTTTCAATTTTGACCCTAATTATGAATCCTTTTTTAAAACAACAAAAGAAGTAATTTTAATTCTTGACGAAGACTCTTAAAAGGAAAAATTAACGATTTAGTAGGGATAAATAAGAAGGAAAGTGAGTTTTATGATAAATTTAACAAAGAAAATAAACTTCTTGGTTTGTGTAAATCGATTGGCAAGATTTTATTTTGAGTTTAAAAAGGTTTTTTTTTTAATGTTTACATCACTCTTTTAAAGTTGTTTTTACCCAATTCATCAAAATCAAGATTAGTTAAAATCATAAAATCATCTTAAGGGAGTGTTTGGTAATACCAATAAGTGTTTTTAAAAAATATTTTTCCGTAAAACGAGATAATCTCCTGTACATATTTATTTCGTATACCGTAAAAACACTTTTAAAATCATAATTTGGTTTTCACCTAAACATAATTTACATCACACTCAATTTTTATATCTAACAAACGCTATATTTTAAAATTAGGGAGGCCTGCCAAAATGATAGCAATAGGAGAAAGAGAAAGCGTGGAGAATTTAAAAAGAAGTGTTTGAATGAAAACTAAATCATAATGTTTAAAATGATTTTATGATAAAGGTATCCTAAATACTCACTAAGACGCATGAGAGGAAGCATGTATGTGTCTAATCGTAATGGTTAAAACGGAAAGCCATGCAATGAATCATGATAAACCCAACAGACTGTGCCTAATAATTCTACACTTTGTTTTGGTCAATTTGCAGTTTTGGGGTAACACCAATGCTCATTGGAAATCTTTTGTCTGTGACTTTCTTTCTTTTCCTGGTTTGTCAACTGAGTCTTCATTATATTTTCGGCTCCTGCATTTTCTGCCATTCTTACTTCCTAGACTTCAAATTATCGTCAAAACCATGATGCTTTCACTGGTTTTGTGCTTGTTCATCATTTAAAAGCAAATTGTTTCTTATAATAAGAAATAAAATCACACTCACTTTTGTTTCTTTTTTTATAAGCAAGCACAGGGAATAGTTTAATAGCTCGAAACTGTATGTGATATACACTCTCACTCCTTAGTGCTCAGATTTCAACTCCTTTTGGATTGTTTCGAATTGTCCATGTGTCGTGCCAATTTCATGGGATGTCGTCCTCGAAGGACATGCTCATGAACAGTAGGTGAAAAGCTTGGGTGAAATTAAATGCAACAGTAAACAAGTTTTCAATGTGAAGATATGAGTGAGGTCAGAACAGAGCATGAAAGGAACGAAACAGAAATTGAAGCGATGCCTCAAAGTCTTAGTTCTTTGTGGGGTTGCATTCCAGTTCCCATGGTTAAAGACGCAGGTTAAGATCCAAAATTTTAATTGGAAGATACAGAGGAAGAGGGAGTGAATATTTATGATGTATCAAAGGCGCCCTTGTCCCACCTCTCTGTTTGCAGAATGGCTGCCATTCTGACAATGTCGTCTTCCTTGAAAATTTCCCAAGAATTTCAATCATCCTCTCACGTTACCCATGAAATGTTGCTTCAAACCAATCACTCTGACCCTACCCCCTCTGCCTTTTCCCTTTAGCCATTTAGCCATCAATATCTGATTTTGGTTTCACTTTTAAATGCCATATTTACTTGCCACTAACAACCTTCCTATTTTCATCATTCGTGTGTGGATGCATGCCACCTAGTGACCTTTTCTGATTTCCCTACACTCGCACAAAGGTGCTACCTTTTGTTCCTTATTCAGTCATTTTGATTTTGGTTTGAAATGGTAAATTCTATTTTTTTAAGGAAAAAAGTCAATTAACAAAGAGTTCTCTCTACTTGAATATGATTGCTTCAATTCATACTTAGTTTGTGTTTGAGGCTTATAAGGTGTGTTTTAGGGGGCCACAATCTGTGCAGTGTTGTGTTATTCAAATTTTTGTTCGAGAGTCAAGACATCATCAAAGGGGCCCAAGTACGCTGTCATTGATTCTACTTAAAAGGAACCCAAGAGGTCCAAAACTTTGAGCTACCAGATAGTAATCCGAAGAGTCCGTACTCAATTTCTTTATCAACAGGCTGGCCATGAAAGAATACAAAGATCTCCAGGTTAATGGATAAACACTGGGAAAAGAGAGTGAGAAATGCCCCCTGTACAGGAAAGCCATGACTTCTCATCTTAAATTGTTATTGCAGTCACATAATGTAATAGTACTTTCAAGTTCTGCCATCCACATCAAAACCAGCATCAGCCCAACCAGGACCCGAAGATCTAGCCTTGAGGGCCGCACCAGTTCCTTTTCCTTTAAATTGAATGCTGATCCTCTTGTTATTTGTTCCTTCTTCCCCGTTAGGAGGCTGCGGATTATTCCCACTTGTCACTAAAACTTTCTGATTTTTTCTCTGGTTGGAAGCATTCACAGCCACTTCCCCGCTCGGATTCCTTGTGTTGGGAACAGAGGAAGCACATTGTGTTGTCCTATCCTGAGAAGAACTTGCTGATCTCCCATCCTAATTCAAGTGCAATATTACATTTACTGACATGATATGCATATGCATACACAAAAAAAGCATGCATTAAGGACCAACAGCAAGCAAAAATAACCACTCAAGGTTCAGTGGAGAACATAAAAGCCAGAGAAAGCTCGCCTCCCCATCAACCCATTATTCTCATTCTAACAAGTCAAAAAATGCATAATTAAACTTCGGGGGCGCTTGCAAAGAATTCTTGGAACTTTCAAAAATAATAGGTTAGGTCCCTAAACCTTTTCAGTTAGGTATTTATTTCCACTTTTGCTCTCAACGGCCTGAATATGTCCTCCAATAATTGACCCGGCAAGCTCCGCATTTGTCTCCAGTGTCAGTATGTCTAGTCCACGATGTTATAGGAGAGTGAAAAAAAACAGATAAAGTAATATTATGAAGAGAAAAACAAACAAAAGGGCCTATTTTATGGAGTGCAGAACTAATTTCCGGTTTAAATTCCAAAGAATTTATTTGCTCCAAGTCCCCATTAGCACTGTCAAGATGACAGTGTTATGTAAATCAAGCCTGTTGGCCTCTTGAAGGTGTTGATATATGGCCAAAATTGTTTCCGCTATTAGTGGGACATGAAAGTAATTGAGTTCAAAGGCTCATTTACTATTCTTTTCAGTATGAAGTATGCATTTGGGGGGCATGTTTGACCCTAAAAAGAAAAGCTCATATTACATAATACCGCAGATCATGAAAACAAGGTCCCTGATCTAGGCCTTCCACCAAAGAATAAAGTCATCTAAGCCATCCACTTTTAAATGATGAAAAAAAAGCAAAGAAACTTAATTGATGAACAGTTGTTGATGCTCGACTCTGGATTCATAACTTCTAATCGTCTTTTTAATTCCTCCAGTCGGGAAAGCTGAGAATTACTACTCTCTTGGACCTATAACTGAATATTAGAACCAAATGATCTATCAAAAGTAGTGCAGTATCTCTTCATTGACAATCAACTTACCAGATTGCTCAAGTCTTCACATAGCTTTTCTTTTGTTTGCTCTTCAACTCTTGCTGCTTTAGTCGCTGACTCTCACACCTGCAGCACAAGCAATCAAGTGTGTACTATATTTGGGAAGGAATTGATGATGCTCAGTGGAATTATGCGTTCGATTTATCATCCAAAGCATTTTGGTTACATGAAGAGATAAGTAAAAAGTCATGATGAACCGATCTGAGTTTAAATTTGATCTGAGTTCATTTTCTAGAGAAAATAACGGTTCAGTAGTGAAATTTCTAGAACCCCCCCCCCCCATTGGGAATACACAGAGAAACAAGAATAATCATACAAGTGAAGTTATATAAAAGCTTCTATATTCATTACCATGATTCAAGTGAGTTGTTGACTATGAATCTAAATGCTTGCTCAGTAAAAGTGAAAAAGTAGTTCTTTCCATATATGAGACCAAACATGTTATTGAGCAATAATGCATCTCAATACATCACTTTTAGCACTTGCTGCTTATTTAGTATATGGGGAAGGTGAAAGTGCAGAACAGGACAGTCAGCATATCAATATAAGATAAACTCACTTTAAGCATATCTATCGAGGAGTTTATGATCAACCTTGTGAGTTTGCTATATTTCCCCTCATTATCGACGTAGATAATTGCACGTTGAAATGCCCCATAATAAGTAGCTATATACCCACCCAGACATTGTCATCTGAAAATTGCAGTACACGGAGTAAAGCAAATGGTAAAAGCGACATACCATTCGTGCCCGTTCTTCCTTTATCTTGGCCACACGAATCCTCTGTTGATGGCTCTATTTTCTTTCTCAGAAGTTCAAGCCCTTTAAATATGCGGCACATACAAACAAAAGCAGAGTCAAATAACTATGCCATAGAAAATTTATTTTATCATTATTATTTGTGCCTAAAGGGCAGGAAACAATGATAACATGGGAACTTGCTTTCTTTGGCCCAGCTGTAAGCTTCATGTCCAATGTAAGATTTGCAAGCCCACGCTCCACATCACGAATTTTAGAATAGTTCTCTTCAATGTATCTGGAATATGCTTGCGAGCAACGCTTCAAATATGCGAACCCAAAAACAAAAAATGAAAGCAGGGCAATAATAATATATTGAGAGGAAGGAAAGAGTAAAAGAGAAGAATTTACTTCTTCAATTGAAGTTGCTGGGCCTCAATAAATCCGATTAAAAATAGAAACA